GCATGAATCCACGCCTTAAAGACTGGTATTTGACCAAGGATCAGTATTAAATATTCCGGGTATGTGGTAAGGACACTGATTTTCTGCAGACAAAACAAAATATAGAGAGACAATTAAGCCTGAAAATAAATACTGAGTCAATAAAGCCCACACTATGGCTGCACTGGTAACTGGCCTGGGAGCCCCAACTTAATTCAGACTGCCTGGACTCTGTGACCTCCTTATCTCCAGTCCCGCTCAGAGATTAATTTACGTGGGCTGTGGTGGCTGGATTTGCTCTCCACGCAGAATACCTGGGCAGATGGAGCTCAGGCATCCCACTCCTGCAGCCGTGAGGAGCTCAGATCCTAAACCTGGCAGCTCAGGGGTTTCAGAAGTCCCCCGGCCTCTCCTGCCAGTGTTCAAGCTGCGATAAATCAACAGCAGATCTCCGTTTCCCTAGTGCCAGCGTTAGTAGGTGCAAATCATCCTTTGCATTCTTCAGAGAATCTCTGCTCAGGTTTAGGCAAACAAGAAATACAAGCCACATGTTTTTTTTCAGTTGTCTTGGGGAGGGTGTCAGAAAACTGCAGCATAATAATTCATCTCATTTTCTTCTCTTCAGTGTCAGTAATTGCTGTTATCCACTTCACCACAAATTTTACCAAATAATTATCTTTCTCAAAGCCATTCATAAAGTTTCAAGTGGAACTGAGGTTTTGGATGAAAAATATTAATAAAATATCAGCTTCTTACTGCAAATCTAAAAATCTTTGATTAAAGATTAGCAGGGGAAGCGGTAATGGTCCAGTGTACATCATTCCCAGCTCTTACTAATGCTGGCTATAATGCTTATTTCACATTTTTATTTTTATCCAGATTCGAAGATCCTTGCTTTGTACAAATGTCTGTTGTAGAAAAATTATGTACAAATATGGGGATTGGGTTTCGGTGGATTGTTTGTTTTTTTTGTTGTCGTTGTTGTTTTTTTAAATTATGGTTCTTAAAGAGTACCCTCTACTCTTAGAGCATTTTACTTTTCTTTATAAACACGTAAAAAGCATGTGGCAGAATTATCTTAACTTTTTGGTGCAGCAGATGAGCCAAGGTTGTTGCTGCTACACCAGGCTACTCATTAAAGCCTCCAGTTAAATCCTGGCTCAGGGCAGAGGAAAACCAGTACTGAGACACTAACTCCACCATCACAATCTTTCTTTTCTTCCTTCCAAGGACTGCTTCTGCTGCATTCTCAAGAGATGTGACAAGATTGCAGTAAGGCAAAAATAGTGATGTTTGTGCTGTATGCATCAAGCCTTAGCACAAGGCAGAAATGAATGCAGAGTACCTCTGGTGTATATTGTCTACAGGCCACTGCCTGTTAGATGTGATATTTTGCTTCCTAAAAGTGTGAAGAATCTTAATGGGTTACAGTACCCTACAAAACAGCTTTTGTAATTATGCTCATATGCTGCTTTGAAGCCAGTTGGTTAAACACTTCTTGACAAACACTTCTTCTTGACAATATTTCTACTGGGATCACTTCATATTTGCAGTAGTTTTTGCACCTGAGAGTAGGACGTTTATTAATTTCTTTGGCACTAAGGAAAGCAAGCTAATATTTGTTTCTTTTGTTTCACACCAGTAAGCTCACAATAGGACAGGTAGCAAAACCAGAGAATGCAAACAAATTGCTGGAGTCAAAAAAAAGATACCCTGGTGGTAATTTAATTATTATTCAAGGCATTTTTGTTGAAATGCTCTGGAGGCAGGGAAATGCTGTAGTGATGGGACTGCACAGGTACCCTGACAGATTTATGAAAGGAGATGTGAAGCAAACTGTCCCCAGGACTTCATTCCCCCATGCTCATCTCTCCAGCTGCCCATGTAAGATAATTTGTAGTGCTGCTTTTTATTAGGTTTGCCAAACCACACAGCAGAGGTCCCAGGGAGCAGGAGCGTGTTGGCTCTTGCATGGGTGCAGCGGGATTGTAAGCAGCTTTTCTCCTTCGTTGCCTGTTTGTGCCAGAGCAAGTCCCTGAGTGGTTGGAAGCTGCAGACTGCTTTATCCTTGCATGCCCCGTGGATTTTAGCTGTCAGAGAGGATAACAAAAGGGTGAGAGGAGCTGGGACAGTGTCTGCCTTCTGGGGGCCAGCAGGAGAGCCAGCTGCACACACAGACAGAGGTCTCTGCTCAAGGCAAGTGTGACCCCAAAGGAACTGTCCCATTTGAGCTGGCCTAAAGATGACCGTCAGGTCTATAAATGAAGAAAAGGGCATTTTCATTCCTTGAGTTGACCAGGAGGTGCCTGGAGCAGCCTTCTGTAGTGCTCCCATCTGGCATCACACCCCAAGGAGCCATCTCAGCAGCACCGTGTCTGCAGGTGGCCCTGGTGACAGCACTGGGGCTGCCTGGTGGCCTCCCTGGCACGGCACGGTGACAGCAGCCAGCCCCTTCCGAGCAGGGCAGCTTCCCTGAGAAAGTCCTCGCAAGAGGTTACAAAAGGTGAATTGCTTCTGCTTTCTTCTGACGGTGATTATCAGTAATTTTATACCTGGACTGGGATCTCTAGGTGCGGAGGAGGAGCTTTTGTGCAAACTTCCATTGTGTGTGTCCCACACACGTTTATCCATCCCTCATTTGCCAGTACAGCAAATTTCTACAGAGAAACATGTACAGATGGGAGGAGGGGTGGAGGTGGGGCCAAGAAAACAACGAAGGAAAAGAGATGGGCTCATTACAGCTGGGGAGAAGGAAATGAATGCACATCTGCAGTGTGCAAATCATTATAACCTTGCCCAAAACGAGGGATCAAAGGGCTGTGGAAATTTTTGCTTGTTGGTATGTTTCTGAGATTGATCAAAATAATGCCAGAAAAACAATTTATTCTTCTCAGCCCTGATCTGTTACAGAAATTGAGCGTAGACCTAGAAATACTGCTATTCCTCAGTTCCTTTTCTGAATAGATTGGTAAGATGATAACTTTTACCTTAAATTTCCATTTGGCAGTTCCATATTATTCATCATCTGAAGAGATCATTAGGTCCTACAGCTGTGTGCTGATCGCTGGGATTAACAGAGCATTTTATTTTGAGTTATTGGCTAAGGATAGGAAAGTATGCTGAATGAAGAAAAAGAGCAGAACTTGTGTGTGGGCTGCAGCACTTTAATGGTCTCAGTTCTGTCATGCAAAATGGTTTTTTAAATGCTTTTCCACCAGGCTGTGGTTGTATTTCAGGTCCTTATGAGAGGCATTCATCTCCTAACCAGATGCCCCAGTGAGGGCATCTCTCCAGCCCCAAAATACCCTCCTGAGTGCAGAAGGAGCCTGGGCAAGCTGCCTGGACTGGCCAGCGTTTGGTGGCTAACACAGGCACTCCTTTGGTGGCCACGCTGTTATGTGTAATTAGCGCTGTAAGGCTGGGCACACAGCAGCCTGCAGCTGAGATTCTCTGTACCATTTATCCCTGCTGGATGGAGCTTGGGCTGCAGCCAGTGCCTGGTGTCACACCAAGGAAGGCAAACCTTTTCTTCCTCTCATTAGTCAGGTTGTGCTCTGGCAGATGCGGGAACATCTGGAAAACCTGGGAGTAAACGGGACCGAGCGCAGGGCAGGAGGGGAGAAGCAGATATATCTTGTCATGCTCTGGTGTGAAAACACGGGCTGCTCGGTTTGACAGGTGAAGCCCAGTGAGTTCACAAACTAGAACATAAATATCAGTGTACAACCCCATAAATTAATGAGTTAAGACAACATACTCTTAATTGCTAGGTAAATAGTTGTGCTCCCAGGTATGAAGCAGGCATATTTCAGTAGGGTACCGCTGGGTTCCCGCTGCTGGCTGTGAAGCTGGCGTGTATCAGCTGCTTCACTGTGAGGCTGCTGCTGGGAGCTGCGCTGCCCCTTGCAGCTACCAGGACGTCTGAACGGGGGTTGTAACAGGGGCTCTGCAGGAGTGACCATGAATAGCTCTGCTGTTGAAGACAAAATGTTATCCAAGTGCAATTAGAAAAAATATTTATTTATATTGCTTGTAGTTTATATAATGCATAACTTTCCTGTAGATATCTGAAAGGGCAGAAGCAGAGATTTATTTATTTAACTAAGAGACTAAACTACACCTAATTAAGAGTACTTGAAGCAAATTTCTTCTAGGGTTTTGGTTCCCTCGTTTTCATTTGGTTGATGAAATAAAGTGAGGGCTAAGTGCAGGTTATTGGAGTACCTGAAATTTTAATTTAAGCAGGTTTCTCTGGTTCAGCTGTCCATCAGGCTTGCAGACAAGAGTGCTCCACTCAGTGCTCAGCTTCATATCTGACAAACGTCTCATTTGTATGTTAATGCTGAGTTGTGATTTCCAGGGAAGGCATTCAGTGTGTTGTAAAGGGCCTCACTGGCAGATTGCAGCTAAATTGATGCTCGACTCACTAAATATTTACCCTACACATCCCACTTAATATGTCCAAAACCAGGCACACTGTGAAATCCTCAAACCTGATTCTGTGCTCGTGACAGCCAGGAAGCTGGTGGTGTCAGCGCCGAGCACAGCACAGTGCTGTGGGTCCCCCCCAGTGCCTGCCAGCACACCTCTGGCCCTTGCAGTCTGTCCACTCTGTCCACCCTGGTCCCCACACAGTAGGGCTCGTGGGGCTGCTCCTGCCTCAGCACCAGGGCACGGCTGCAGCTGGCTCCCCATTTTTCCTGCCCCTTCTTCTGCAGGGCTGCCCACAGCCTAGAAGGGTGTTGGGGAGGTCAGACCGGGGCTGCAACTTGGGTCAGCGTGCTCCTTCTGCTGCTGCGGGGCAGCACAGAGGCAGGGAGCATTCCATGGCACAGCTGGGGCGATGTCCAGTGTGTTTTCACCTGCTCCTTGCCATGTGGTTTAGTTTAGGACAGCTGAGGTCATGCATTTGTGCCCTCTCCTGTCCCCTGTCTCAGATGTTTGTAACGTACTAAAGCCAGCACGGTGGCGAGGGGGAGGTTGGAGGCCTTGCAGCTCACCTGCTTGTTTTTCTCCCCCAGCCTGTTCTCCCAATGAGTTCCAGTGCAGTAACAAGACGTGCATCTCCATCATCTTTGTGTGCGACGGGGACAACGACTGTGGGGACGGCAGCGATGAACGAAAATGCTCCCCTCTGACCTGCAACCCCAACGAGTTCCAGTGCAACAACAGCATGTGCATCCCCGAGCTGTGGGTATGCGACAACCAGCCGGACTGCGACGATCAGTCGGACGAATCCGTGGAGAAGTGCGGCTACGATGCCAAGGCCCTCAACACCTGCGCGGCTCACGAGTTCCAGTGTGGCAACGGCGAATGCATCCACCTCAACTGGAAGTGCGATGGGGACGAGGACTGCAAGGACAAGTCCGACGAGCAGGATTGCCGTGAGTGTGTGCAGGGGCTTGGGACCCTGCTGGGGGGGAGAGGGCAGCCAGAAGGCACCGTGGGCTGGGGTTTGAGGCAAGGCTTTGATGTGAGCTGTCTGAGCAGCAACTGTGTGCCTGACAAAGGAGCGTTTGTGTCCCAAATGGCATGGCTGGGTCCCCGTCTCAGCAGGGTCAGGTATACTCCACACTCTTTTTTTGTTGTTTTTTTTTCATGCAGAGAGGGGGTTGAAGGAGCTGTTCAGTGGTTCCGTGCTTCATAGAAGATCTGTTTCACTAGAAAGGAAGGGAATGGAAAATGGGAGAAAATTTCAAAGCCCCCAGACTGCACAATGGGGTCACAACCTGGAGGTCAAAAGCCATAATGCCAAAGGGAATATATGATCAGCCAAAAAAAAATAGTTAATTTCCTGCCTCTGAAGTTAGAGTGTACTGAACAAGGCACTCAAGAGCAGTACCTCTGAAGAATCCAGTTTGAAATGCGCTTTGAGCTTGGCTTGTTACAGGCACAGAGCTAATAAATAATGGATTTCTTTTCAGCTGGCTTTATGCATTTAACATGGTGTTGTTGGTGTGCGTGGTATTTTGAATGTTTCATCCATTTTTAGTCACTAAACTGTTCAAGCTGGTCACTTATCTGAGGAGGGAGACAAGAAAATAAGAGCAAAATGTTTTGCTAAAATATTCATAATCACAAGATTGGAATTAAATAAAATATTTACATAGCTGTATCTATTCAGTAGCTCTGACATTGGGCCACCTCTGGGGAGGAAGGCAGCAGCCAGCTGCAGAAAGCAGACATTTTTACAAAGGTCCATAAGAAAATGTTCCTTTTTTTCCAGCTCCTCCAGGAGAGGAAGGATCAGACTCTTTTCTGGGCAGAGATAGACAGAGTTGAATTTGTTGGCTTCTTTAGCAATAGGAGGAGGTGGCAAGGTACAGTGTGTACAGCACTGTGTACAGGACAGGAGAGCACCAGGGTGAGCTGTAGATAACCCTGGTGTGCCTCTAAAATTGCCAGGGACAATTTTAAAAGGCAGAGCAGGAGAAGCACAGCTTATTTTGAGAGAGAGCAGCTTCAACTGAAGGATATAATTGCTGTTGACCCCTTCCTATCCAGGTATGGATGGAGCAGGTAGGATGGCTTCTCTTCAGCTCCAGGGAGGTGTCGTCGGGAGCTGCCGTAGCTCCTGTCAGGAGGGACCCAGGCGGCGCTCCCAGTCACAGCGGTGGTGCCCTGGCAGGACGGCTGATGTCACACAGCCCAGGAGAGGGGAGGGGAGCTCCCTTCCATTCCCAAGTGGTGCAAGAGGGGAGCAGCTCCAGATGGAACTTCTGATGGAATGTAGCTAAAATGGATTTTCAGGCCCTGTTGTTCAACTTGGAAGGAATTTTAATTCCCCAGCTTCTTTCCATGATCTGACAGACTCCAGCAAGTGCCAGCTGAGCTCAGATTGCCGAGGCCTAGGAGCATGGCTGTGACAGCAGCCCTCAGTTACAGAGCAGCTTCACCAAGCAGCACCTCCAGGTTTGCCAAGGGCAGCTTCTGTGGGGCAGAGGACGCAGCTGGATGTGGCTGCAACACGGCACAGTGCTGACAACCAGTGGAAGAAGGAGGAAATGTGGCTAGAGAGGGCAGAAGTGACTTGAGACCATTATTTCCCTGACTAGGGGGCACTCAGTGCTTGAAGTTTTTGTAGTTTTTTTGTTTTGTTTTTGTTTTTTCCCCAGTGAGTCTCAGTGTGGCACAAGATGCAGCTTATCTACCCAGGAGAAATGGGCATGGGAGCTGCTTGTGCTGCCTTCAGCAGGAAGCCAGGAGTCTGTGAGAGCCAAAGCCCTGTGTTTAGTTACTGACGTGCTCCTCTGTACAGGGTTGACTGCTTTACACCTGTGCAAATTAGGAATCACTCCAGTGATTCCTAACTGCGAGGCATAACCCTGCTACTGCTTGCTCTGTGGGTAGGGGATCTCTCAGTTAGCAGCCAGCAGAGAGCCTGTGGCACTGAGTGCAACTATAGCTGTTGGGTCAACCAGGTCAGAGTCCAAACTAAGGTTGTTTCCCCATCCTGTCCAAAGCTGTTGCTTGGGTGCACATGCCTGTGGTAAAAAAGTGGTATTTGAGCACTCTGGAAACACAAAATCACCATTTGTCTGTCGGAGTGAAGAGTGTAGGGATTGACCTTTATTATTTTTTAACTCCCTTCCAGAAATTGTCTTTTAGCTCCATAGTGCATGGCACACAGGGAGTCGCAGCTGCCTGACACTGCTCCATCCCCGTAGCAGCAGGAATGGCACAGATACTGCTGGGCCTCCCTCAGTTAAACCTGAGGGTGCCAGCACTGTGGTAGCCTCTTCTCTTGCAAAAGGGGATCATACGGTTTTTGCACTGTATAGAACGGAGGGATGGGAGCTTTAAAAAACATGTCATGAGGCTATCACCAGTTATTTGTTGTAATTATTTTGGGGTGATAAATGAGTGGAGCAGGAATGAAGGGTGACAGTTGGTGAACAGGTTTTGGCAGCAAAACCAGCAAATAAATAGGAGTGAAGGAGACATTTCAGGGAAGCTGTGTGAGAATGCTGAGTGGTTATTTTTTTTCCCCAGTATGTATATTCAAAAATACATATATGCATGTATAAAATGAACATTAGGTTTGATTTATTAGTTTCCAAATCTGGAATGGTTATATTTTAAAATATTCTCTGCAACTCAGGTTAGGGTATCCAGGGGGGAGAATAAATAATGCTTACAGCTGACAGCTAGAAAACAGATCCCTTAAGACCTGACCTCACACTTTCGTGCCTCCGTCTCCCAATCTATAAAACAGGGTTGATGCATTTTGCAAATGCTGGGGTTCTCTTGAACTTAAGTTAACTTTTGGGGAAAAAAAAAGGGAGGGGAGCAGAAGACAGAAGAAACAGAGGCTCAGACTTGGAATCTGGAATGTATCTGCTGAATTTGAGCAATACGGCTTTGTGCCCAGTATTTGCAAATGAAAAGCGTGTCCGAGTGTGCCTGTTAATTTAGCAGGGCTTTGGTAAATTGTTTTGTATGTGATTTACAGAGCTGAGAAGATGGCTATAAAACTGCTGAGATTCCATAATAAAATAAACCCCCCAAAATAGCAGAGCAGTTTTCTGAACATCTTGTGCAGATGAACAGCCCAGCTCCTGTCTGTCCTTGGGATGTAGCCCATGGTGCTCAGCTGGGTTTGTGTCCCAGCTTCAGGATAACGAGGTTCCTGGCCCTCTCACCTCAAACTTACATTCTCTGGGCCAGGTATAGACATAGCATTCTCCCTTCTCCTGCCAAAAAATGCACCAAAAGATAGAAATGCTGTATATCTATTTTAATACCTTTGTGATCAGTAAGAGATGTCACCGTATCTGCTCCTTTTGGGTGTTGATTAGGAGGCTCAAGGGCCGTTTCTCAAAGATCTGAACTTCCACAGCCTTGCTGGAGTGAAATGAGCCTTAAAGCCAAGCCTGTTTTCCAGTTTTCTGTCACTTCTTGAAGCAAGAGCCTTTTGCAGAAATGTTTAAAAGTCCCACCTCTGTGTTTTGCAGTCCCTTTAGCAACTGAGCTGGGACTGTGCAGTCATTTTTCTCTGTCTTGTGCTGTTAGTGCATCATCATGTTTGCAGTTCCTGCAAAGTTCTTAATTTGTTGTAGAATTAGAAACCTTTCTATTCTTAGCATCTGGCTATAACTGCTTTCTAGAAGAGCTTTGAGGACAATTGTTAGGATTTATAACAGCTGCCTTTCAAATCTGTAGCCACATCTTGCAGGTGTACTTCATAAACTGGAGACCTGCTCCTGCTCCAGGAAAGACAAGGCCCCAGTTGGCTTTAATTACATGTGGCACATCTGTGGGGAGCTAAAACCTACAGTCAGAAATGGAGGACCATCCTGTCCTGTCTTCATATGTAGAAGTCGCTCCAGAAAGGGTGAATTAAACTGGTTTTCATGTTGGAAGGTGAAGAATATAATTGTGGTAAGGGAATTTTAGGTAAGACAGCAGGAAAAGCTTTGCAATGACCAAGGTTTAATTTGGAAGAGGTTGGGGTTGTGTTTGGGGGAGGTGGTCTCTCCATCAGAAGGGCTTCCTCCAGGCAAGTGGTCGCACACTGCAGGACCAGTTCAAGCAGCAGTGCCTCTGCCTCCCTGCAGGACCTCTCAGTGCCACTTCCAGATCTGGGGTCTGTGCTTCTCCCAGACCACAGCTTCATTTCCTCCTGTCCTTCATTGTTCTCCATTTAGAGCAACAGCTCCCAAACGCTTGGAGCTGCTGTCCCACTGAGGTTTCCCATTTCTGTGTTTGGGTTTATTAGCTGAAACGTGGTGACACAGCTGGTCCCATAATTGTGCTTACTGCTTGGGATTTTTTTCTTGCTTTGCAGCTTTTTATGAATATAGTCCATATGGCTTTCCTCTCCAAGGAGCAGTGCTGTTTCCTAACCTTTCTCCTGTGAATAGTATTTCTCTGGCAGGATGTCCCCCTTCCTCCACCAACCCTCCAGTTGCTGCTCTCCCTGTCTCATGCCCTTCAATGCCTGTAGATGCCCTAGAGCTCAGTCCCCTGCAGCAGTTGTGAATCTGGATCCTGCACCCTATGCATGCTGTCACCAACGATGCTGAGCCTTTGTGCATACCAATGGTTGTGGTATTGGCGCCAGCCCTCTGCATGTCTATGGTTCTTTGGGGTTAGCTGAAAGTAGTAGTTTTTGCATTAGGACCAGTTTGTCAAATTGTTGAGGGAAGCGTGCCACGTAGTGCTCACCTCCCGGGCAGTGCCATCAGTGCTGACCTCCTCTAGCTAGTCAGAGGCAGTGATTTTCTGTCATATGGCACCAGGCTGCAATCAGCAAGATGGAAAGGCTAGAATCAAGAGCTCTCTGGGGTGTGCTGCCTTAATAGGATTTTAAGAAAACATCTGGAAGACAGTCTCAGTAGAAATAAGCCATGAACGTGTCCCAGGAATGAGGAGCCCGTTTTCACCAGTGAACCCTTCACTGGCCAGCCACTGCTGGTACCCTTGTCAGTGCAAGTCAGATCCCATCTAGGACAGTTTAGTGTAACCTTGAAGAGGGAAACACCACTGCTTTTAGCATGATCAATGCAGCAGCCTGATTTACTTTTTCCACAATGTTTCTGTTCATCACATCTGTTTTGAGTCTGTAAGAATCTAAAAAGGGCAAATCAGCTTCAGGCTTGAAGTCTGGCCTGACCCTGTGGGGACGTTTTCAGCCTGTAACCCCAAGAAACACCAAGCCACAGGGCAGCAGAGCTCTTCTGCCTTCCAGTGCTCTGTGGTTAGCTCATGGGCGTTCAGTAACCCCAATGACTGCGTCTGTGTTGCTAGCTACATCCCTGGTGTGACTACGTGTAGTGGGTTTACGTAGCAAGGTTTTGGTAGCAGGGGGCCATAGGGGTGGTTTCTATGAGAAGGATCTAGAAGCTGCCCCGTGTTTGGTAAGGGCCCCACTGCTGACCAGAGCCGAGCCAATAAGCGATGTTGTTTTGCGCCTCTGTGAGAGCATATTTAAGACAGGGAAAAAAAACGCTGCGCCACACAGCAGCTGGGAGTGAGGAACGGCACCAAGGTCAGTGCAGAAGGAGAGGGAGAGGTGCTCCAGGCACCAGAGCAGAAGTCCCCTGCGGCCTGTGGTGAGGACCATGGGGAAGCAGGATGTCCCCCTGCAGCCCATGGAGTACCACGGTGGAGCAGGGTTCCACGCTGCAGCCCGTGGAGAGGAGCCCACGCAGGAGCAGGTGACCTGGCAGGAGCTGCTGCCCGTGGGGGACCCAGGTTGGAGCAGTTTGCTCCTGAGGGATGGACCCCGTGGTACGGACCCACATCTGGAGCAGTTCTGGAAGAGCTGCTGCCTGTGGAAAGCCCACACTGGATCAGTTCATCAAGGACTGCATCCCATGGGAGGGACCCCACAGGGCAGGGGACGAGAGTGACCGAGAAGGAGTGGCAGAGAAGAAGTGCTGTAGACTGACCATAATCCCCATTCCCCCCTTCCCCTGCGCCGCTCAGGGGGAGGAGGTGGAAGAAGGTGGATGGGGCGGAAGGTGCTTTTGGTTTCTTTCCTTTGTTTCTCACTCCTCTAGCTTGTTAGTAATAGGCAATAAATCTTACTGTCTCCCTATGCCGAGTCTGTTTTGCCCGTTACAATAATTACTGTGTGATCTTCTCATCCTTATCTCAACCTTTGAGCCCTTTTCATCATATTTTCTCCCCATTCCTCTTTGAGGAGGGGGAGTGAGAGAGCAGCTGTGGTGGAGCTCGGCTGCCCACTCGAGCAGAACCATGACACTACGTTGCCTTTAGCAGAGGCACTGTACATGTATCTTGCAAGTGACCTTAGGCTGAGCATGTTTCAAAACACTGCTTAAATACAATTTTTTTTAAGGCAGAACTGAGGAGTGGTTGCCTTTGCATACTGAGTGCTGCTCTGCGCTGCTGTTTGAAATGCAGCCTGGCCTCTCGCAAGGGCTGAAGGGCCCAGAAAGGCTCCAGTGTTGAAAGTTCAGCTGCCCACTTGCTTTGTTGCCTCTCACCTGAGAGGTTTCACTGTCTGCACTGGTTCTGTTTTGACTGGGTCTACTCGCATGGGTTTTGGGGCTCCTCTTCACATGGATGGAGAGCCTGATCTGGGATGTCGGGGGCACAGGAGGGCAGCGGCTGAGGTAGCTGCTGCCTCTCTTGCTTGGTGGAAGCAGCTGATGCTCTGTGCCATTTGCTGAAGGAGGCTGCAAACTCCACTTAGTGTCAGGTAAAAAGTACCACACAAAGCTCCGAGTCCTGCATGGCTAACACTTCATTGTGTTGTTTTAAAGCTCTGGTGACCTGCCGGCCGGATGAATTCCAGTGTGGGGATGGGACCTGCATCCACGGAGCAAAGCAGTGTGACAAGGTGCACGACTGTCCTGACAACAGTGACGAGGCAGGCTGCGTCCAAGGTACGTGCAAACAGCGCTGCGCTCCTCGTGCTCGGGTGTGTAAGCCTGTGAGAGCTCCGTGGCCGCTGCAAAGGGAGGAGGCCTGTGTTGCTCCTCCATGCCATGACGGGCTGCTTCCTGCAGAGAGGTTTCAGCCGTTCTGGCAGCGGGGTTGCTTGGGAGAGATGATTGTGCTGACCAGGCAGACTGCACGCCTTGAAAAGTTCCTTGCATCATACTCGAGCTTAATGTTCATTTGCTTAATCCCATCCCATTTCTGCTAATGACACCCTCTTGAAGCTCTGTGTCAGGCTTTTTGTTGTCATGAGCCTCATCTAACTTAGTTACTTTCCTCTCTTGCCCGACATGACAGAGTCAGCATGTGAAAGTCCCAGCAAGTTTCAGTGTAAGAGTGGAGAGTGCATTGACGGAGGCAAAGTGTGCGATTCACATAAAGACTGCAGGGACTGGTCTGACGAGCCTCTGAAAGAATGTGGTACAGTACTTGCCTTCTACGTGTTGCTCCTGTTGTAACTGCTTCCCCTCTCCTCCATCTGGTGCTCACAGCTTTGAGTGTAACCACATGTAGCTGCTAATTCTATTTCTCACTCTGCTTCTCTTTCCTTGCCTTTATTCTCTCTTCACCCTTCACATGAATATAATTAGTAGCCTAGTCTGATCATCTGCCAGTGTGAACTGTGCCCTTCTCAGTTCAGTTTTTATTCTTGGAGGGATGTTTGAGCTGAGCACAGGACTTCCCAGACACTAGTGTCCTCCACAGCATGGACCAGTTTGTTTAGCCTCACTGCCAAAATTACCTGTGAATTCCTGTAACATGAGCAGATCATAAAGATTTAGCTTTGGTAACATGCTCTGAAGGTGACAACACCGTGAGAGGCAGCAACCACTAAGATATGACTTTAGCTGTTTCTGAGATTCGTGTGTTGTTGCTGCTTGCTGGAGAAATGGCAGCAGGTTTCTGTCTGCAGCATCCTGCCAGCTGTGGGCTACTGAGATCAGCCAAGCCATGCGAGCCCAGTCTGCTGCTGGGCAGGCAGGCAGCAGAATGGAAAGCCACAGGCCAGAGGGCTGAGCCTCTCTCAGCCTTCTCCCTGTGCATTGCAGGTGTCAGCCCCAGCCTCAAGCATCACTGAAACACCCTTGTTTTTCCCTCGTGCAGAAAGCCTCGGACAGGCTGCTGCGCTGTCCCTCACCACCACATCATGGAGCACCAGTAGCATGGAGCTCAGTGCCTGCAGCTTAAATATCTCGCATTCAGGGTGAGCTGTCAGTCTCTGTGTCAGACAAAAAGTGTGTGTGAGCTCCCAGTAAGGATGCTCTTACCTTGTGCTTTCAGTACATCCTTGCTTTCTTCTGCACTAATCCACATCTCCCTGTCTTTCTGAGTGGGTGTTGCAACTTGTCTGTCTGTGGAGGTCTCATGACAGGGCCAGCAGCCGAGTTTGTCCCAGGAGACTGGGCAGCAGCACAGCACAGCTGGGTTCAACCTTAACGGTGGTGCCATGGCTGCCTGCAGTTAGTATCACGTGAGCTAGGAAGCTGAGCAGAGAACAATCTCCAAAGGAAACACGTTTCTTTGAGACTGCAGAACGATGTGGATTGCTGTGACTGTAACACCCAGCCCCAGGTGATCCACGCAGCAGCGCAGGAGATGCAGAGCAAGCTTCTCGTCTCAGTGTGTCTGTCTAGTTGTGTGAGACACCCTGCAGTGCCCTCCAAGAGCCCTCAGAAAAGCACTGCAGAACATCCTGTGTCTTATTTTAGGCAGGCGATTATTACATTGCCAATGTTTGAGTAATAGGCAGCAGCTGTCCAGCAGAAGGGCAGCAAGCTGACATCTTTGTCTGGTTCCTCCTCAGCTCCTGTTGAGAAGTACAGCAAGCGAACCGATGCTTGATTTAAAGACTGTAAATCCATTCCACAAAGCACCTCTGAAACCAGGGGAATCATCTCATTGAGGGTTTGCTTGTTAGTTAGTTAGTTGCCTTTGTTGTATTTCGCAGAAAGTGGTTGTGCATGTTTATGATCCAATTTGCTAGAGGCCTTTGCAAGTGCAGGAATAGGTGATACCCATTAATAACCATCATTGAGCAGTGATAACACATAATGTGACTCTGTGGACACCTTCTTGGAGCCTAGTGAACTTGCTCTGTTAATAATTTATTGATATCAGTGTGTGTGTGTGTCTTTGATAGGAAGGTGAAGGCATCCCAGAGCTGAGCTGGGCTTCCTTTTGGCATAATATTTTCCTAGTCTTGCTGACTTTAATTGGCTTGTGGTTGTTTTCATTTTCTTCCAAGAGCACTGGTCTAATGGCTCAGCTGTGCTACTCACCTGCAGTGTGCAAGAAAGCAAGAAGTAAAAGCTAAATGAAAAATTTGCCTTTAAATTGCGTTAAGGATTGAAGTAAATCAGTTTTGCTTGTTCCAGAGCCCACTATCCCTGAAATCCCACAGCTTCTGTTCAGCAGGCTCACTTAGGGAAAGGACTTTCTCTTCACCTCTCTCATAGGTTAATTACAACAAATAATGTTATTTCTGATAGGAAATCAGCATTCTTGAACCTCCCATTCAGTTCTAGTTAAAAGGATACATTTAGTCTGTTTTTCATTTCAGCTCTGGAAAACAGGATCAGAGAAGTGGCCTCAGATCAGAGAGGGGCCCAGGAGAGGAGGGGGCTGTTGCTTCAGAAATTGCACACTTGGGCTGATGCAGGCTGCCAGCAAAGACTGTCGTGTGGGAGGTCCTTGTGGGAGGGCTGTATCTCAGTGGTAATGGAGCATCTCTGACAGGCTGCACTTCGGTGTTTTCTGGAATTGTCACACAGATCATTCCTTGGAGCTAGAGGGGAAAATAGTACAGTATTTCAAAATAGCTGGCCCCTGGGAGATGAGACTCCCCCAGCATGAATTATTAAAGCTCAAAGAGAGCTTTCAGAAAAGTCAACATTATCCAGTGCATGGGGAAGGAGGAGTCTCCTGGAGAGCACCCTGAGGTCCCTTGGAAGTTCCTCACGCCTGGCAGAATATGCTCAAAGCAGCAGCTCTCCAGTGGGTTGAGATACAGAGATGCAGACACTGTATCCCCAGGGCTCCCTGTTCGTTTGCCACCAGCTTTCAGTCCAAATGATCCTAACAGTGTTGGTTTGGAATAATAAAGAGCAAGGAAGAGATACGGTGATGGCTTCCTATATGTGAAGTCACTCCTGTGCTCTGTGTGGCCAGTGCCTGGCTACCAAACGCTGATAGCTATGGAAAAATTTCTGAGGACTTTGGCCACCCTTAATTTTATTCAGTCTTATGACTAAAATGCCTCCTGTATCATGGATAATCTGTATGCCTCTTCCAGGTATTAATGAATGCTCTATGAACAACGGTGGTTGCTCACACATATGCAAAGACTTGAAGATTGGTTATGAATGTGAATGCCCGCCCGGATACAAGCTTCTGGATAAAAAAACGTGTGGAGGTAATTTACATGCAAACAGCAGTCCCTTGTGTTTCACCATACAGAGACGTGATTATATTCACTTCAGCATTGCTCCATCACAGATGGTTTGATTTCAAGTTATTGATGGGTTTCAAACACTCCTTTCAGACATAGATGAATGTGAGAATCCAGACGCTTGTAGCCAGATCTGCATTAATTACAAGGGGGACTACAAGTGCGAGTGCTACGAGGGATATGAGATGGACACCCTGTCCAAGAACTGCAAAGCCGTAGGTAAGACGACCCCACAGGCACTTAAACTCTGATTGCTCAACATCACAACTCTGATAAGAAAACATGCTTGCAGGGCTGAGACTGGAGGAACAGAGACAAAAGGAAGCTAGCAAGCAAAGACATTCATTTCGAGCAGCGCAGAACTGCTGCAGTGATAGCAGATGCGTCTCTAGGCAAGAACTACTGATCATTCAGATCAGAATATTTTAACGGTGTGCAGAGCAAGATTACAGGCACTAGCTGGCTGTTTGAAGCTAAAACTAGAAAAGAAAGTCTCTTGGCAGGTTTTATTAAAAACAGTACAGCAAAACATTTACTGGTAATAGTATGAAAAGGAAGATGACAACCCAATTAAAGGATGGTAGGTTAGCCACCTCTCAGCCCTCCGAGCCTCACATGCGAATACCAACACGAACAGCAGCAGTTTACTTGAGCTTATTGCAGAAATGGTTGTATTTGTCAGAGAGATAGAAAGTTGAATTGTGCAAGAACAGAGTGTTAGCCCTGCTGAGGGTTCTATTGAGGGAATGGTGGGGCTCCTGGGGAAGGATGAATTACCTGTAATAGAAGATTGCCTGTCTAGTGTTATCCTGCATGTTCATGTAGCCTTTTTTCCCAGGTTCTATATGGTATGTACAGTGTCCTGCTGTCCTCACACCTGCAATGGATTAGAATTGACCAAATCCTAGGACATCAGTCTACTTGTTGGTCAGAAAATGTTTTTGTACCTGAGAGCCTGTGCTTGAAGCCCTGCAATGCCATGTAGAGCTAGAACCTTGTCCTAACTCCTCCCTTCCAGTGCCATGTTCCTCAGTTCATTTTGCCTTTCCCAGTGGAAAGATGCTCTTAGGTTCTTTTATTGGCCATTGTTGGAAACAAACCAGTCTAAAGGTCATTCGGAGTCTCCCATTCTGTCCCTTCCTCAAACAGGGAGGTGTACAACCAGCGAACTAAAGCTTTTACTTTTTGATTTGCAGTCTGTTTTAGTGGCACTTATGAGCACACTCACATGCTGTACTGCTTGCAGATGGCAAGAACATGCACCTCTTTGTCTGAACCTACACCCGTAGGTGTCTGCATCCTAGCATCGGAAATTGGCTCCCTGGGGCCCACCCAGAACAGCCAAGGAGGCTGAGGTGCTGCCTGCAAGTTCTGCATTTACATTATGGTCTAAAATGTTGTCCTAGCTTTGCTGGATTCAAAGTGGCTCTGTCATGCCTTGAGTCTGGCTCCCCTCCTTCCCTCCAGCCAGCCCAGAGTACTGCCTCTTCCTTGTCCTGCCCATGAATCACCAAAATCTGGCCCTTGTATTTTTAATCTAAAATGTAGAATTGCAGGTAAGGACATTCCCTAGAGTTTTGTTTGTCTTAGCAGAATGGGCAGACTAAGAGCTGCTGTACATCTGGTGACCACAGAGGTGCTGTGGTCGTCCATGTCTTATAGAATCATTAGAAGGTTGGAAAAGACCTCCAAGGTCACCTAGTCCAACTGTCCCCCTATGTGTTATATGTGTTAACTCTGTCTCTGGAAGCCATTTACACTTGGTCCTGGTGTGCTGCAAAACTTTCTCACAAAGCAAATCAGTGACTGGACGGTCTTCACTTTGTTGCTGTATCAGGAATGAAAGAATCCAGCTGCTAAAATGACAAATGCTCTTATTTCTGTGGTAGGCAAGAGTCCATACCTGATCTTCACCAACCGCCATGAGGTCCGTAAGATAGACCTGGTGAAAAGGGACTATTCGCGCATCATTCCCATGCTGAAAAATGTTGTGGCACTGGATGTGGAGGTGGCAACAAACAGAATATATTGGTGTGATTTGTTCTACCGAAAAATCTACAGGTAAGGGGCAAGAGGGAATGTGTGTTTTGGCACCTTTCTAAAGCTGTGGTTCAGTTTGTACCAAGTAAGGACGATCTGCAGAAAACAATGCAAGATTCAGTGAACACAGTGAACCTGGGGGCTTCTATTCCCTTATTGGCCTACCTGTTGTGGCCCAGACTTTGCAAGCTTTTCAGGAATTGACTAAGAAATCAGGGGCTTGTGCAGTTACTTGGTTTGATAATGTAGGAAGGCTTTTTGTCAATAACAGATCCTGCTGCATTTGCGCAATTACACAGAGACTCCTGTTTACTGAATCACAATATTGCTAAGTGGTGCTGTGTGAGGCTGTGCTGTGCTGTGCGCTTGCTGTATGTGGAACCTCAAAGGACTTAGCTGCTGAAAATGCAGAGGCAAATGGTGGAAGCAAGGAGGTAGCAGCATGGATACTGTTTGACCACTGTAGTCTCTGGTAGACCAGATCTAAACTCACAGCACTTGACCACAGACCGTATTTCATATTCTGTAGTTTTTATTCCCCTTCCTTTCTCAGCTGTTTTTATGCATCCATCACAGTGTTATGTACCAGGGCTCATAAGTGTGCCTAATCAAAAATGCACTTAATTTATGCACTGAAAATTCCCCATGTATATTCTGATTTGCATAGCTATTGCACCCTGTTGCAACTCCTACAGCGATTTGTTTTGGATTTTAGCTAATGATCAGGCAAAGGTTGATTGGTTTCAGAGCATGGGAGCCAAGCCAGGGTTTTTGCAGGCTGTGCTAGCTCCCATGCTACTGGCATGGAAATTTGCCTAGACTGTGCTGATTATTAACATTCCAGCAGTTAGGCAGGTACCCCAAGCGGCCCTGTGTAGCACTGAAAATGGGGAGATAGGAAGAAAGCAAGCTGCTTTCACTGTGTCTGACACTGCCGGCACCGGCAGGGTGGGTAAGGGCTTCATATCCATACAGAGAATTTGAGACACGCTGCTCTGTCTGCAGCTCTCTGACAGTGAATGCCCTGGGGCTGAGGGCTGAACAGTGTTCATACCCTATATATGGCTGTACCAAGCCTGCTTCTTTTTCCAAACAGCAGAATTTTTCTCTTTCTCACTCCTGCTTGCATTAGCTTTGCTGTAAGTCACATATTTTCTGCAGAGCAAGCTATGTAATCATTTCCAATGTCCATGAATCCTGTAAAATTATACTATTGAAGTTAATGTGCCCTAAGTCAAATACATATGTAACGTGTATATATATAACGTATATATATATATATATATATATATATATAACACCCACATATTGATTTTCTAGTTTTGCTAACCTGTGCAGTTATAGCAGGAAGCAGGTAGCAAAATGACAGTTCCCTGTCTTGCAAGTGTCTGCCATCCAGATAGAGGGAGTTAAGAACAAATGTAGGAGAAAGCCGCAGAAGGATGCAGCATGCAGCCATAAAGGTTTCTGTGTCCATCCCCGTGCCACGTGAGCACATTATTCTCGTGAGGTCGGAGTGGTGCTGCCCAGCACTCAGCTGTCTCTGAGGCCCGGCCCCACACACATCTGCAGAGCCCTTCCTGTGCTGCGTGTCAGTCCAGTGACGAGTCTTATCTTTGCAGTGCCTACATAGACAAAGCGAGCGACACAGCTGAGCAGGTGATCCTGATAGACAGCCAGCTGAACTCTCCTGAAGGGCTGGCAATAGACTGGGTTCATAAGAATATCTACTGGACAGACTCTGGAAACAAGACTATCTCAGTGGCCACCGCAGATGGAAGCAGGAGGAGGACGCTTTTTAACAGGGACCTCAGTGAGCCAAGAGCCATTGCTGTTGACCCCACAAGGAGGTAGGTGTGAAAACTACAGATATTTCCTTTGCCAACAGGAAAATTCCTGTCGTCTTTCTGCCTGACAAAAACACATAGGCCCTATTCATTGTCATCAAGGCTTACAGATGCCCTTATCTTTTAAATACAATTATGTCCATTAAACTTAAATGGAACTGCTGAGATGCTTCAAAGAGATGGTTCAGCTCAATCTTTGCAAGGCTGCTGCAGTTAACGCTCTGAAAATAATATCAGGTCACGTGTCAGATGGGCCTGAGCTGGTTTGGGCACACAGGTTATGTTGGGAAATAAATAGTCTGACCGGAGTACAGGTGATTTGGCTAAGTGGAGTCTACAGATCCAGGAGAAACACCAGGAGTTAGTTTGCATGGGATCATCAAGGTAAGAGTTTATGTTCCGGTGCAAGTTGTGTGGCACAGTACCCAGTGGGACAGGAGCGTGGTTGCTCTGCTAGGTGTGTATCAGAATGAGCTGAAGTGACTGAGGGGCTTTGCTGTATCAAGCAGAGAAGACTGCAACTCCTACTCAGATCAGTAGCACAGATTTCTTATCTTTGGGTCCAATTTACTGTTTTCTTGCACCCGTTTCTTTCAGGTTCATGTACTGGTCTGACTGGGGAGACAAAGCTAAGATTGAGAAAGCAGGCCTCAATGGCGTGGGGCGGCGAGTGCTGGTGGCTGACAACATCGAGTGGCCAAATGGCATCACGCTTGGTAAGTGCCCGGGTTAGAGCTTCGCTATCCACTGTGGCTATTGTAAATTCATTTCTGTTAAGTAGGAAAACAAAACTGTAAATTTGCAGACAAAAGTCCTGGAAATTCTCTGTCACTCAGAATTTTTCAACGTGAGTTTGGTTCGGTAGCGAGCATAGGTGGTAAGCGTTGCTGCACTCCTGATATTGTATCTCATAACGCAGCAGCCTTGAGTTGCTTTTAGGTGCGTTTTAAGACAAAGGGAAATTTCAGGAGTGGTTTCTCTGGTCTAGTCTCAGAGACAACGCCAAGGTAATTCATTGGACTGCTTAATGCATGGAACACCAAGAAAAGAGACCCAGCATACAGAACCCGTTCCCTGTTAGTGTGGCTGCCCAGCCTCGCTGGATGGGAGCAGTGAGACAGAGCCCGTCTCACCCCGTACCCTGCATCCTGCTGGCACACAGAGCATTGTTCTCACTGCTGCACCAAGCTGTGGAAGTGGAAAGGAAGTTTTCTTGCAGCAGGGGACAGCCTCACCTGGAGCTACAGCCATGTATGTTTAACACCATACAGATATGAGGTTCTCTGCTTGATGTTTGAAAATCCTGGCCATAAAAAGGACATAGGGTAAAATGTTACTACCATCACATATTGTTGAAGTGCTACTGCCGTGAACAAATAAGGTTATCCTTTAGTATTTAAGAAATTAATAGCTTTTTTAATTATATAATTGTGTTTTTTTTTCAGCACTTATCTACTTGCACTTAGTTTAGTGAATCTCATCCAAAATAACTGGATTTGCTCCAGGAGGAGAAATTAATTTCATAGCATTCTAAATAGTAGTGGATCCTTCCCTCCCACTCTTACCTGCACCTTCCCCAAAAATGTCTGGCTGTGGTAGGAATGTTCCTACCACCAGCATTCCTTCAGTCTGCAGCACAAGGACTTCTGAAACCCAGGACTTCATCACAGAGAACATGTAAATCTCACAGCTCCCTCAGAGGGATGCTTCATTTCAATCTCAGACATTGTTCTCCAGCAAGAGGCCAAGAACTGAATAGCCCTGAGCGATGAAGCTTCTTGCTCCCTGAGAGGCACTGATGGGGCACCTCTGGGAAGCCCGAAGTGCTGGAAGCCCCACTCCTCCCCGTAACAAAAGAACCTCATTGTACAAAGCTGTTAGCCAGGCACACACACACACCAGAATGTTCCTCCTTTTTAATCTTACTTATAAGGTCTTATCCCAGCATATCTGGGCACTGAATCAAAATCAGAACTAGTGTTAAAAAAAAAAAAAAAAGGCCCAATAATAAAGAGATTAGTCATGCTGCCAGCAGGAGAAACATGCTGGGCAAGAGAAAAAGAGTTGCAGGAGCTGTGTGTAATTTTGTTTCATTGTGTTTTACTTCTCAGATTTGCTGAATCAGCGTCTCTACTGGGTAGACTCCAAATTGCATTCACTGTCCTGCATTGATTTCAATGGCAGCAACAGAAAAGTTCTGATCTCCTCTGTTGATGATCTGAGCCATCCTTTCGGCTTAGCAGTGTTTGAGGTAAGAGTCAAGAGCGGATACAGAACAGACTGAGTCTGCAAGAGGTCTCAAAGCTCTTCTTGATTGAAAGCTTTGCCTTTTGCATAGCACAGAAAGCTCAGTGAGGGCGTTTGCTGCTATAGAAACCGATTAACCTGGTGTGGGTTCAGCAGGGAAAATTGTTTTCCAAAGCCCTTAATCAGGAGCAGTGCGTTGTCTCGTGCTTTTACCTAATGGAGTACGAGTGAATCCGTGAGGGCAGGTGGTGCCCGGAGCAATGCCTCCCACGTAACTGGGAAATGGTAATGGCTTTCCCTTGATTTGAGTTGAGCCAACTGTCCATGCAAAGGCCAAAACTATTAGTGAGGGGCAGGAGACGGCACTTACTGTGATCAGCAGGTGGGACGACCATTCGCTGAGTGCCACTGCAGCATGTCCTGTGTCTTTTGACAAGTCAGACTTTGAAAGGAGCTGCATGGGCTCAGAGCAGCCTCTCCGCCTGCTGCCAAGCACTCTGCTGTTCTCAGCATCTTTGTTTCACACCATGTCTGCATGCTTGTGTTGCGCTTTCCAGTGCTAACAGAATCCTCAGGGGAGGACGGCCCCTTAAATCTTGCTGCATGGCCTTGCAGGTTGATTGCATGCTCCCTCTGCCCATCTCAGTATCTGCAGAAGTATCCTCAGAAATGTGCTCACCTGTCTCAGGGGCCTGAAGGCTTCAGTTGGGAGTATCTGTGCCAGCAAGGTACTCGCAGGGCTCCCCCTGCAGTCAATGTGCAACAGTGCATTGCTGGGTTTGGGGATTTGGCATTAAAAAGGTGGTTTTGTTCACCTAGTTCAGGAAAAGTCAGATAATTCTCGTTCAAGCTGAACTGCTCCAGTTATGATACACAAACCCTGCCACACATCAGAGAAGTGTCCCTTGCCAAACAATTACAGCTCTGATCCTACAAAGATAGGCGTCTATTTTCACAAAGGCATTAGGCTTTTCCCATTAGGGAAAGGTGTCTGGTTGGGTCCCTGTTAAGGTGTCTGTCACAACCTCCTGTCCTTTTCTTTCCTGTCTTTTCATTTCACTGAACTAGGCTGGCTTTTGACACAGTAAAACCCTCTTCCTGAAAATCCTTTTTCCTCCTATGCAACGTGTGTGATATCTAGGCATCTGATTTGGTACACAGGTTTCCCCAGGAAGTTGCTGCTCTATAGTTTTATCCTGTATCAGTAGCACTTGGAAGGACCTTTTGGATTATCTAACCTCTGTACACCTTTCCTTATCTGAATGGCTGGCTAGAATAACAGACAAGCCTTTTGCTTTTGATAATTTGCCCTTGTTCTTCAGAAATGTGTCTTTCCTTACTGAAATGTATGTGTTTTTTAGCATGCAGCAGCATATATAGATAAATTCTAACTGAGCAACTAAATACTGTTGGATAACTGCAGTCCTGTACACCTCCTTGACCAGGTACTTTTCAATCACAGCAGGCCTTACCAAAGGTACTAATACAAAAAAAAAATAGATACTTATCTTCCAGGTGTGATCATGGGACAGGCTTCTTCACAGACACCTGTTTTACGCAGGTCTTATCTTTGTAAAGGAGAAAAATAGCAGAAGTTTCTAGGGTAGCCCTTTGGGCTTTCATGGACTAAAACCAGAACCAGTCCATTTTTTATTGATTAAAAAAAAGGTTCAGAATCAGAATGGATGCAACTCTTCTGTATGTAACCAATTCCTGCTCCCTCAGGTCAGTCTCATAGCTGCTCAATTTACTGAGCACTCCTATAACCACTGTAGGATTGCTGTGCTTTTAACCATTAGAGCTAACAGTATTTGAAAGAAAAAAGCTGCAGGTAAAACTACCATGAATCTGAGGTGTCCCAAGGCAGGAGAGCAATGGATTGATTTTGTGATTACTGGAGTTTAATCCAGTTTGAATTGGATTTGAACAGGGTCAGAATTTTTATGCATTTCCTGCAGGACAGAGTGTTCTGGACTGACCTGGAGAATGAAGCAATCTTCAGTGCAAACAGGCTGAATGGCTTGGACATCTCTGTTTTAGCAGAAAATCTCAATAATCCTCATGACATCGTGGTATTTCATGAATTAAAGCAGCCCAAAGGTAAGACATGTCATCCTCAGGGTCTCGTGGCCTTAAATCAGACTTATTTGAGCTAGTAAATGAAATGCTTCCTGGTGGTTCTTGATGAGAGAAAAAGCACAGGTAATAATGTGAAATCAATGCCTGATGTTTGAAGTTCCTGCATAATTAATTCCGCAGCAGCACTTATTGAAAAGTCTGCGATTTGTTAATAGCTATTTAATTAGCATCTTTGATAACAGAGTTACTCTCATCACTCTGATGCGTGCCATTCATTATCTGTTTGGGCTGTGCTGCAGTCTGGAAGTATTATGGCAAGGTGAGCATGAGGAATGGCATTCAGCGCCTGGCTTCGCTAGCAGTAGCAGTGAGGCTGCAGTGGCACAGACTGCAGTGCAGTCCGGTAGCTGGGGAGAGCTGCCTCAATCCCTTGAGAACCTTCACAGCCAGCACTGAAGCTCTTGCCATTTTCACAGCACTCGTTAAGTGAACTTTTTAGAATGAGGACTGTGTATATCAGGCAACACATGTTGTGTATGTGTCTTCAGAATCTTAAGCAACTGCTAGAACAAATTGCCTTAGCAGAACAGGAAGGCAATTTCTGACACAGGGTAACTGTGAAACTACCTAAGAAATTTCAGTGAGGAAAAAATGGCTTACTTCTACCTTCTGTTAATTGTGAAAGAATGTACAGCTGGGCAAAGGCTGCTCTCCTGGTTCAGTATCAGTGTGTGAATGTTCCACATAATTATTAGTGGTAATCAATAAGCCGTTCAAATGTCATCTCTAGTGTGTAGCATTTTGAACTATTGACTTGTGAATGAGTACATGTGATCAAGAAGGCAAACAGAGGGACACGAAGCCCTTTAAACTTTTATTCACTAATCTCTTCACAGTTTTTATGATAGTGTGTAAGATTTGACTCCAAATTGTAAAGATTTTTAAGCAAACCAATTAATTGGGGTAGGGAGTAGAAGAGAGTCTTCTTAGAGGACCTGATGTTTCTTTGCCAAGAACAAAAAATGAATGATTAGGAAAGTAATTTCTCTTTTCTTCCATCTTTGAATAGCTCCAGATTCCTGTGAGCTCAGCCCCCAGCCAAATGGAGGCTGTGAATATCTGTGTCTTCCTGCACCTCAGATTTCTCCCCATTCTCCCAAGTACACGTGTGCCTGTCCTGACAACATGCGGCTGGGTCCAGACATGAAGAAATGCTACAAAGGTAAATACAATGACATTGCTGTTGTGCTGTCCCAGTAAAAACATACTTAAAGTGAAGTACACGTTCCTGATGGTGGAACACAGCCATTAGCTTTTGTATTCCACATAGTTTGAATTATGAGCACAATGTTGTGCTGTTCTTTATTGAAAACCTGCATTATTTTTTGAAAGCGGGAAAAAATAGAGTGAAAAGAGGAAAAAAGTGATTATGCCTAGGACTAAAAGTGTGAATGGTTAATAAATAATAAAAATTCACCACATTAGTGCCCTATAGATACTGGATCTGGAAAGGCCTCATTCATTGCTGATGAGTCTGGTGATTACACCATAGTTTTCCCTAACACGCAAATAGTTCCTGGTTCAAGTTCGGTACCTTCCCAAAAACAAGTTTTGCTTTTTCTTTTAACTTCTTAACTATCTTCTAACCAAAGAACTTTATTGCTATTGATAAATAAAGCTTGATTTCAGGTAGCTGCAGGTAAAGAACTATCAGTGCTCTATGTGCAAACTGATTTGGAATTCTGTTTCTGTTCCTAACCAGTAAACATCACAGGATTTCCCAGATTTACCTCACCTTTTGTGATTTTCTTTGTGTATTTGTTTTCACTAAATGTCATGTTCATTTTTGCTTTTCAGATCTTCCAACTACTTCAGCAACTGTACTGGTTTCTAAAACCACAGCATCACGTACCACCACTGCTTCCACCATGACCTCTGCTGGCAGCTCCAATAACACCACTGAAGTCATCCCCAGAGCTGTATCAGAAGCTACAGTTACCACCTCAAGTTTTCATCCAACCCCGTCCATCCTGATCGATTCTGAGATGACCACCGGAAACAGCAATTTGTCACAACACTGTAAGAGAATGAGATTCCTCTTTTCTTTTTCAGTATATACAGTATCACAGAAACTCATGTACCATCAGAGACCTTACCTAACAGCTAACCTATAACCAGGTCAGGTGCAGGCCCATCCTGTTGCATAGCAGGAGAATTAGATGTTCTTTATGCAGACTCCTCTGTTACCATAGCTGACGTGATTCCAGGCACTCAGGATTTTAAGGGCAGGCTTTCATCCCATACCTGTAAAGCTGACTCTAGAGATGAGGTCCTGCAAATTCATACTAGTTCTTGCCCTGTTCCTGCCACTAGTTCAGCTTCAGTGTTGCTGGTAGTGCTGTGTACCTAAATATGGATTGCATCTGGAAAACAAAAAGTAAATCATCCCTATTTAACTAGGATGTCTATTTGGAGTAATAGTGATTCAGTGCACTGTGTACAGCACGTGGGAAAGCAGAATCTGATTTCTAAAATTCATTCTCCTAAGTACTGTTTGTACAAATATCCTTTCAAATGCATTAATTAACCAATCAGAGCTGAGTTCTTTAATCGTCTATGTTTGAAGTAGGTATTTAATAGGTTAATTAATAGGTTTTCATTCCTAATAAGAAACAGCCCAGCCCAGCCCAGACTTGTGTGTATCTGCTTTTTATCTTTCTCCCTGATTATTTTATTGCAAAACTTTTTGTAAACTCTTTGATAACAAAAACTTCCCGATAAGCTGAAAGACAGTTACTAACATAAAACATTCTTTAGATATGACCTTAAAGCCAGCAAACAAGTGAAATGATCAGCAATACCTTTGTAATTGCAGATTCCAATAATGGTCAAGGCTTTGATTCAACTGTGACAGCAGCTGTTGTTGGAATTGTCATTCCTGTTGGTAAGCTGATTTGATTTTAATATTTCAGTATGGTCTCCTTCAAAGTTTGTATAAATAGACTCCTCTGACTTTCAGGAGTCTGGGGGTGGGAAGGAGTAGAGGAACTACTGAAATGATGCAAAGTGTTCTGGCTTTCAGACAGTTGTACAAGGACTGATGGGAGCATCCCAACAGATTCCTGCGCTCCACACAGAACTAGCTCACCTAGCTAACAGCAGTTTCTCTCCCCTTTCCTCAGTGGTTATTGGCTTGCTGTGCATGGGAGGATACCTCATCTGGAGAAACTGGAAACGGAAGAACACTAAAAGCATGAATTTTGATAATCCAGTATATAGGAAGACAACAGAAGAGGAAGATGAGGATGAAATCCACATTGGGCGGACTGCCCAAATTGGACATGTCTACCCAGCAGTAAGTACCTGAGGAACTTGCTGACAGCGGTTGACTTTGTTGAGGGATTATGTACAGAATTAGCTCCACCTGATTCCATTGTTGGTTATTTGATATATAATGACAAAAAAGAGAACTTTTTAATATTTCAATAATCACAGAATAGGCAGAAACCTAGATTTATAGGCAGCATATGTAGTATATGAGATTTTTAACAGGAAACCCAACTTAGAACCAAATTTGGATACTGTTGCTAATGCATCAAAATTCACAAGTCAAAACTTTCTCCTTAAGTGTGTTTTTCTTCCTTCACAGCGTGTAGCGTTAAGCCTAGAAGATGATGGGTTGCCATGAGGATACAGTTGCTGCTCCAAACAGAACGCACTGAACAAATTTGCTGTGGATCACAAAACCTGCTTCTTCTTTTTAATTGTTATTTATGTTGCAGAAGGGTAACCACAAAGTTATAATGAACAGCAAACATCCAAAGGATGTGAGAGTTTTGTATGTATAATCTTTTATACACATTTTAACTTGTTGCACTACCCATTTGTGATAGTCAATAAGCAACTGCTGAGCTACTAACTCAATGTACATAACCAGCCAGGCTGAAGGTTCAGTAGCTATTGCTTTATTTTAAGACTATATTTATAGATATTTTGTAAATATATTGAATATGCTTTGTGGCTATCCATCAACATAAGTAAAACAAATTCTGTACAGGCAGTTTAGAAGTATTTATTAACAAAGTCTGGATTATAAGATCTGATCTGTAAATATAGTAGAGGGGTGAGAGTATTTATTTTTTGTATGTTTGGCTTGCTGTGCATAGATTATCTGTGTATATCTATCTAGTGTAGATAGATATAGGCATATAAATATATACATATATATAAATATATACATATATTTTAAAACTACTACGTTTATGAAAATTAGGGATAATTGAATTTTTACAGGATGTTTGAAGTTTGCTTTGAAATCTAAAGACAAAGCAAGAAACAGCTGTACTATAAGATAGCTGATAAATGAAGCACTCCCATAACAAACAGAGCTCCTGTTTTCCAAGCTGGCTTGCAAGGGTTGCTTTTATATAATTTCTAGTCTAGCCAGGCTCATCTGCAGTGCTTTTAACTGAAGAGCTATTGCTTATAGCATTTCAGTCAGGAAGAATTCCTACAGAGCCCAGTTTTTCCATTTTGTATTGTTGCTTTTTACAGTTTGGTACAAAGTTGGTTCAGCATATTTTTACTTGTTTTCTAAACATAAATCTAAATGCTTTTCCCCACTGATCATCTCACACCATTCAAATTAGTTTAGAATTAGTAGATTAGCCATATACTTTCAGATACCTAAAATGAGCTGTCCTATCTAGCTCATCAGGAAAAAGAAAAAAAATAAAAAAAAATAATAAAAAAAAACACAACACACAATAACAGTTAATTTCTTGCCTCCTACTCTTACTGATTAGGAGTCCAAATTTAGAAGAGGCTGTGGGGTAGTGTCTTGACTCACCATATGTAGAACGTGAATGCTTACAAGCAGCCTGCACCATGGCAGATCCGATGTAACACAGAGCACTACACAAGGAGGTTAAAAATTCACAGCTTTGTCAGTAGCTGATTCCTGTAATTGAAAGGTATCTGAAGAAATAAAACATCACAGGAAGAAAAAGTTGTGAGCGTTCTGCTACGCTAATAACTGCCTTTCATTTGCTACTGTTCCCAAACTGTGTTTCTCTCTCCTGCCAGGCCTCAGTAGCACAATGCTGTTTTACCATCGTCTCCCAAGACAAAGGAGGCTAAAATATGCACTGTTTCTCCCAAGATAATTACAATAAACAATGTAGATCAAAATAGTTTTACATAATCCTGCCTGTTTCTGCAGCAATACGGAGTCAGGATACTCATATTTACCCATTTACTGGTGCAGTTATTTCTCTTTTTTTGGTCTCCTTCTGTTGAAGAATGTAATTTGTGCTTGCTTGTGATTCCAGGATACTGCTTTAAGGAGAAATACAGAGCAGCATGTCTCTCACCATACAAGCTTCCCTTCCCTTCACAATTGCTATTTTTTCAGTTCCCGTAGAACATTTAAAGTCTGTGCACTGAGATGGAAGACCCTAGTAAGGCTTTGCATTCAGGTTTGAAACACTTTCTATCAAAACCGCTGCAGCTCTTTGTCAGCAAGTGCTGTTCCTCCACTTCAAAAGGCAAGTTCACGCTCTCCTGTGCTTTTTTCAGACAGCTCGTCACACCAACGGGGCATTCTCCAAGCTGGTGATTTTCATCTATTCCATCTAGCACAGAGAGCTGGCCATTTTCCTACCTTTGTCTTTCTCTCATTCAGTTGTCATGGGGTGATGGGATTTGGCTGGGTCATTCAGTAGAAAACCCGATGGTTTTCCTCATTTCATCCTATGAGTTAAAAATCCTAGAAAGTGAATATATCCACCTAGCACTGCATATTGGATAGCACCTCCCTGAACTGTACCAAAAGCTAGAGAAATCTTCCTAGCATTTTTTGCATCAATCACAGCTTTTGTAACTTTTGTCACACTTTTGTCAAGTGAGTAGAAGAAGCTATTCCTGATTATATTTTTTTCTTTTTTTTTCTTTTTTTTTCTTTTTGGGAAAAAAAAAATCACAGTATAATCTGAGCTGGACTTTGATTCTTGACTAAAAAAAGGGAACAAGGTGTCTAAAGCCCTAGTGTATGTATTACAATACCTGCACTCAAAATACTCACTTCATAGCCTGTGTATAGACAGTGTCTAAACGATCAAGCATCCTTCTATTCAAATTTTAGATTTAAAGGCAGTAAAGAAAATGACTGAGAAATCCACTTACTGTTTTAAGGTATGAAGCTCTGTTTCTGCAAATTCATGCACTGTGTGCATGATGAAAAAAGAGAAAAGGCTGTGTGTGATAACACTGTAACTAACAGACATATGTAAATATATTTGGAAGTTCTACAGTTTTGATACTTTTTTAAGAACACATACACACAAACTTGTACAAAAGGCTGCAGGTTTGGGTTTTTTTTTTTCAAACCATTGTAAATGAACTCAATGTGCAGTGTTGATTTCAACCTTTGCAGATTTATAACTACTGAAAAGTCAAACACCAAATTTGTTTTTTAAGAAATTAATTATTTTAAATAACGGTTCAGATTGTTAGGATGATATTTAACATTGTAATCACTTCTGATCTCTGTCTTGTCAAGTTCTGTTAGAGTAAGTTCTTGCTTGGTGCCTTTTGTGTTTCAGTTTTGCTATGGACAAAAGGACCAGGGAGGGGCGGGGGAGGGATCTGCTCTGTGTAACATTTGCTGTACTTACATAAATAAGGATTACTGAAAACCAAATGAATACATTTGTAAAACAGTGCACTCTTTCTATAGAAAGATTAAATTTTTTTTATCTGGGCCTACTGACCTAATTCCATTATAGCACTTACACCGCCGTCTCTTAGACCTGGTACTATGTTATATTTTGGTTCGCATTTTCCTTAATTCTTAACTGCCCAACCTGGAAGCAGGACTTGGGAGCCCTGTTGTATAACTTAGCTGTTCTCTTCAGCTTCACTCACATCTTTAGTAGCTACAGCATCACAGCAAGAACACTTAAACGTAGACCATGAACTGCTTTGAATGAACACACTTTTTTTCAGAATTATCTTCTGCCACTTAGGTTTTGGCCATCTTCAAGTTACATGAAAAATAGCATCTCATTTGTTATTTCCTTGGACTAAACAATTATTTTAATTACATCAGTGATTGACATAAGTCAGCAAACCTTGCAGTGCTACACTGGTCCTTACCCACTTAAGAAGAACACCAAATTTTAACAGGTAGTCTTTTTTTTTCCCCTCCAAGTTTTTGTGATCCTATACTGTATTAACAATAAAATATTTTGTTTCACTTTCTACACATAGAATGAGATATGAGATAATTCATACTAATTCTGTGCTGAGTACTTTCCTTAGGAGGCTGTGCCACTGCACTTACAGATGTAACCCTTTAGTGTTCACATCATTTATGCAGCCTGATTAGCTTTAGCTTTTGGCCTTCTGCTGGAGTACGTCCCCATCATTCCTTACACTGAGTTTGCACGCCACCAAAGGAAGCCTTTCACTTTGTGAAACACTTTTAAATGTCACAGCCTGTCCTTCAAGAATGGAGCTAGAGCCATGGACTAGTGCAAGTTGTTTTTTTTTTTACTACTTCACTACAGGCAGTTATAGAGTATAGCATACCCAGTGCTAATTTCAGTTGTCTCAACATTGGAGGAATAACATGCTGGCCAGCTCAAAACACTAATTAACAAATTACATGCTCACACTTACTTTGCCAGTCCCGGTACCTTCTATTCAAGCAGCTACAACAGGAGCACTTCGTAAGCATGTGCAGTGACCTTGGATGCTCTGGAAACAGCACACTGGTTGATGATGGTATCTGTAGAGGCCCAAAGTGCCAGCTGCTTGACATTTCTTGTGGCTTACCCTGATGACAATAGCCAGGGCTTCCACACTTTGAAGCTGTGTGTTTCTACAACTTGCAGGATCATTTCCTGTGGTTTTTCTCAGCTAGCAAGTCTAGTACATTTGAGGATTTTTTTTTTTCTGCCTGAATAGTAGGAGCTGATAACAAAAAAAAAAAAAAAAAAAAAAAAACACACAAAAAGAGAGTTATCTTTGCAACAACATCTATGAGACAAAATACAAAGCCGGTGCAGGGGGAGGAAGGTGAGGAGACATGTAACAAGCACGCTAGTTAGGGTGTAACACCAATTCTGCTTTGCAAAGAAAAGGGGTTTCCCACCCCATTGCAAACCACACATGCCAAAAGCACCAACAAGGGACGTGCTGCAATATGCAGTCCATAAAAAGGGTCTTAAAAGAGTTCACCATGCAAGGATTGAACCGCACCATGAAACTTGCATCACTTACCAGGAAACTTCTCAGCCAACTCACTGAGTAAATCCTATTCAGGGTTTTTATCTGCCAATCAAATAATTAATTAGTTCCAACTGTAGCAATTTATTTTTCATATATTTACTCCCCCACTGGGACACAGCTGAAAGCACGTACATTTGTTTAATTTAAGACATTACAAATAAGGCATAATGGAAAACCTTATGACTGAATGTTCCAGAAAAATCACAGAATCTATATAGTTGCTAATAAGGCACAGAAATAAATAAGATCTAAGCAAAGAGAATACTGCAATAATGCTTAGAAGATAAACCGTACTTAGAAAGTAATGTTTATGTATGAGTTTTGATGACAGGAATTTGAAGTCAAATTTTAGACTTCCTGCAATAATGAAAATCTGACAAATGATTGGAAATTTGCATTCAATTATTTTGCATTCAATTATTATTCACAATGTCTGATGGGCATCACATTTAAAAGCCTGGCCCCATGATTTGATGTTAAAGGCTTCAGTGGTAATAAAAGTAGTGAAGACATTTATAATAAAAACTTTTTCAAACACATCAAAGGCTGGAAGCCTGCAAAGAGCAGGTGAGGTTAACAGAATCTGTTGCTGTAGAGGAAATCCATGATGAACATGTATTTTTAATTTTGCATGCAACCTTGAGCTTCACGGCTCAAAAAAGGCCTAATGTAGCCGGAAAAGATACTGAGAAGGTCAGCAAGGATAATCAAAAGAGCTTGTACATTTTTCAAAGCCTCAACTTGGAAAAAAACAAAACAGAGGATATACAATACCCAGATATACAACCATTATTCCCTAGCACTTTCTCTGCACCATTAATTATTCCCCATTTCTCACAATACCAGAACTTGAAGGCATGCAGTAACATTTAATCAGATAGCAGGTTCAAAATACATGAAAGAAAATACTCTTCACAGAATGCATAAACAAGTGGCACCCTCTGCAACGCTACCTTGTGAGTAGGTCTGTCCGTGGCTGTGCTATACAACATTTCAGCTGCACCTTCTGGACGATGAAGAATCCAAACTGAGAAGCTGAAAGCTGGGCACACAGCAAGCAAGGATACTCTATACAGTCAGTACTCTTGAAGGCTTTCCTAAGCATCCATTGCTAGCTACTATCAGAGGTGAGGAAGGGTAGATGGAGTGTTGTCAGATCCCGTAAGAGTCCTGATGATCACAGAAATAAGAAGAAAAACAACTAGGAGAAGTTTTTTTTGTTTGTTTGTTGTTGGTTATTATCTTATTTTTCTATAGAATATATGGAAATTTGGTTAGAAAATGGAGTAACTGAAGCTTATCATAAATATTGTCCATGTGAACAGCGCAGTTCATGGACCTCTTCATGGGGAGCCGTAACAACTGCAGGCCCTTCTTCATTCTTTAATCTCTGTAACATGAGGAATGAACTTACCCAAATTCACTGACACTATATATTCCCTTACAGAACATACCTGATCTGGAACAGTCCCAAATTAAAGATTACTTAACACTTTAGGGCACAGAAACAAGCTAAAATTTATTGTAAGATCTTATGATAAGGAAGAAGATTAAGGGTTGATGTGAAATCTTTGATGTGCCTGATGAAAGCAGTATTTTTCATATAGGAAGATGGGGGTAAAAACATTAATTGAGGGTGTTCACCAAGCAGTGGGCCCTGTACACCTAAGACAGCTGCAAATTCTGAGTCCTGTTCTTGCTCACCATATCCAACAACCTGAAAAATTCAGAGACCAGACAGTTACCAGAAAGGCAACAAGAAGTGGATGGTAAAAAATCCAAACCAAGCTTTAACCATATTTTATAAACCAGTGTAGCAAAACTGGAGTACAAAGCAGTCAAATTCAACATTCTGAATCTGTAGTCTAGGCTGCCTCCATCATCAACAGACAATGCTTTCAGGTAGTGTTTCAACCTCCCTGTCTTAACATGGGAGAAGTATCCTCTATCTCTAGAGGAGCCTCTGTCCACTAGGGACAAAAGCAGCTTAACTACATGGCTAATGTTAAAATAATTGAAGTTGATGAGATCAATCCTACCACCCACAACTACAGGGATAAACACTAGTACAGAATTTCACAACTTTCCTGCAACTTTCAGAGTTCTTAAGTCAAGGACTTAAGTAGCAGCAGGATTTCAGAGACTGACGTCCACTGTAACATTGGTAATTCCAGCATTTAACTGTTATATTTCAGGATTCTAAAACTTCATAACCGTTTTCAGAGCACAGCACTTTAAAAATGGGTAGTCAGAGCATCATGAAGAAGAAAAGAAAATACCTTGAAATTTAGTTAAGACAGTCAAATTGCATCTTTCCTAAAAAGAAATAATAATGGAAAAGTGTCCAATATAGCACTGATTGCAGATGTACTTACATGTATACTGAGTGTTCTTCTATCTTTTCCCCTAAGAACTTGGAACCATTCAATGAGATCTTCTTTGGTAAGTGATTTTAATGCTTCAATCTAAAACCCACAAAAGAATACTTAAGACATTGTTGTGTTTTGGTTTTTTTTTGTGTGTGTGTGTTTTTTTTTTTTAAGACATTGTTTTAAAAGCGAATGGGATCGCTAACATTAAGGATCACTGCAAACATCTTTATAAGCCTTATGCTTTACGAGCTTCTGTACTCCAGCACCAAGTACAAGCCTAATAACTAAACAGCAAGGTCTGTCAACAGCATTCTCTGATAGAACTACTAGCCAGTGCTTAAGAAGAATTAACCTGGATTGGTATAAATTCTGTGAAATAATTCTGAATTATTACTACTATTCACCTTGAAGCACACTGCATAATGCCTTCAAAAAAATAAGAAGCCATGAACAGACCAGATTTAGATGTAAATTCTTTATACCATGCTGGCCATCATTGTTGTTTGCTTCACCTGTTTGTTAAAACACTTTATAATAATAAAGTTAATAATACACTTTCTATTCAAAAATCTAAAAGGCTACTATACATAACAATATGATGAGTTAAATTAAAATCCTTACCTCACAGGCGAGCCTGTCAAAAAGATACTGCTGACTTATAATTTCCTTCCAATGTCTATCCATTTCTCCACCAAGAAAAGTATCTTCACATTCTTTAGCATTGATTAGAGAACAGACCTGTAAAAATACATTTTTATTAAAATTCATACAGAGAAGCCAAGAGCCCTGAAAAAGAACTGGAATTCAGTCCCCCAAAGTCACAAAACAAAACTAGGGAACAGTATCAGTTTTTCTTTCTTCCTCTCCAAGCTGGCTACCTGGTTTGTTTGTCAATAAATCAAGACGAAAGAGCCTGTGGAGGTTTACTAGACTGCTTCTTTCTGATTACCTGAGCATGAAATGCATCTTCAGTTAAAAGTTTCATTTTTTCTTCAAAGTACAACAGAAATTCTTCTATTTTCTTGTCAACAAATTCAGAACTGAAGGGAGACGAAGGAACAAAGTTATAGACAATGCTGTTAACTTTCAGATTCAAATGTCTTCTATACCAGAACTGAGTGCTTCTATGCTCATTCAGTCAGGAGAGGGAAAACCTTCACAGTTTACCTCTCTCAGGCAACATCTGACCAAAAACCTTCATGTCTAGGCTGCTAGTAAGGCCACAGTACCACTTCTACACCTGTGCCTGGCTTTCTGTCCCTCTCATTTGCTGTGGCTCTTTCTGGAGCATCCTTCTCCAGGAAACATCTAATATCCCTTGCGTAAAATGCATTATCCAGCACAGCCACTTTGACTGCACACTATGGGTGGGTGATCATGCCACTGTGAGCTGAGTAAGAGGTACTCTCTGAAAGCTGGGATGTTTAACTTCCACTCTTTCCTTAAGACAATTGTGTGAAACTGCAAAACTCACTTACAAAATAGTAGCAGTCTTCAAATCAAAACAGAAGTATCATCATCCAAAAAGATGCATACAAAGTTGTTCTGGCACTAAAACTAACAGCTCTTAACAAATGTTTGTTGTTTTTTTTTAAAATCAGTAAGTTAATAATTTCAAAACAGATGTTTTAGGTGGTTTTGTTTCTCACACAGGCTTGTTTACTGTGAATAAGAGAATCTTAACAGACCAAAAACAAACAATGCAATGAGAAAAAATATCTTTTTACCAAAAAGGGATGAAAAAGACACTAATAGTCTGTGATATCATATAAAGACTACATGCAGTAGAGACTTCAACTATATAACATTATTTCTACTTCCAAAACTGACAGCTAAACATGCCTGTATCACTGTACCATAAATATAAGCACTGTAAGAACAAGAAATCTTAAATCTTAGTTGAATAATTTCATTGTGAGAATTCTTGTAACAAATATCTTATTCAGATAGGAGCAGATCTGCACGTGCCAGCTCTGAATCTCAAAGCTCTCAAAACCCGAAGATGCATATGCCAGAAATCCAACCACTGTAAAATCAGGAAGACTTACTTGTGCTTGGTTGCTTGTGTTGTTACACTAATGGAAAACCCAATAATCCCAGAATTATTTCTATAGGCCGGGTACACATGGTAGCTTAAATGAAAGAGATAGGGGAAGGGAAGACTTGATTACAGAAGCAAAGATCACTTAATATTCATAATTTTAACAACAAAGTAAAAACATTACTAGTGCTTAGACTTAACATTTCCCATAAGGCTACTAACACCAAATATTCCTAAAGGGTTAACTTAAAAACATATGCAAATACTAAGAGGAATAACCTTTTCTAAGTTCAGTCAATCTCCTACAGCTCTGCTTAATGTTTTTATAAACAGGCTTAGATAATTATATTCTAAGAATTCCTGCAAATGAGATACAAGACCACGAATGGTCCAAGTCGGGCTGTCATCAATCCAAATGAAACTATTTTTTAGGCATCTGCAGTTAGCAAGTGCCATCACTGAAGCCATGTCGTGTTTCTTGCTGGTTAAAATGGACAAGATGAGTGTGGCTAAGCTGTCAGTGCTCATACATGAAGTTCCTGACAGGATGTAATGTATGGACTAATTGAATAGCAAATAGCTGTTTAAACTCCTAGGAACACCATAATTAAATATCCCTTTTTAGGAATAGCATATTTTCTACTGACTCCATGAAGGATATTCATACCTGCACCAAGAATACCCCTCTCACCACTGCAGCCATTGACCTGTCTTCCAGCATTCAATGAGCAAAGAACCATGTGAGATACTCTTCCAGCAATGATTTGATGTTTCTTCAGTTGATTTTTGTTTATCAAGAAACAGATTTTTTTTAAATGCCTTAAAGTCTACCTTCTGATTTAGACACTAAGAATAATGAAAAAATAACCTCTCCATGGAAGCTAACCTTGATTGTGAACTTTACAGGGTTTACAGCCTGAAAAAAAGCACAAAATCTTTTTGACAGCATCTAGCATTTCTCATTATTTTGCCTTAGCTATCAACATCAGCCCAGGACATAGCTACAAGTGAACACCAACATCTTAGGCATCACAGCTTATATGTGGACAACCGCTAGATGCAGAACACTTTGTTTTTCTTTCTTCAGTTGTGTTATCAGTTTACAGGAGGCTTCTTTGTGTAATTTCAATATAGAGAGCACTAAAACAATTACACCAGAGAAGGCAGGGTATTCACAATATGAACACTGGCATAGATCCAGACTCTAAATATTACAGATACACACAGATTGGAATGCACCCCAAGCATTTATGCAGTTATGTGCAATTAAAGAGAGGACATGGGCCCATCTGTAGACCTAGAAAAATTAACTAAGAAGCTGTGACAGAAACATCTAGTGACAATGCTGTATTTGCTTGTAGTATATTACCCTGGTCTTTCAGCTACACTATTCCAGGAATTAGCTAGTTTCCCATAGCAACAAGGTAATGGGACTGATTGTTCAGGAAGAAAACAGCTGAATGGGAACTATACCTTCTGACAGTGAGCTTACCCAAGTGTTTCTTTGGTTCGCAGGAAATTGAAACAAGGCTCCTCCATGTGCATCTGAAACACAGCTTGAATTTATTCAAAATGTTCTCCTGTTCACAAGAGTAAATGTTTTACCACACCCACACTATTTCAGCCCTTGTGCACAGGCATGATCAAATCAAGGAAGTATGGACTAAACCCACTACACCTCCTCCCAACTTTTCCTATCCTCAAAGATTTAGGAATAAATTAACACAGTTAAATCTATGCCCCTTCAACAGGATAAATGGAAAATTAACCTTCACACTGTCATTTTATAACAAATATATTTATTAATTCTTAAGTGAAACAGTGCATTGTTTGAAGAACCATCCCAGAACAGTTCCAAGTACTTACCCTATAGAAGGGCAAGTAGGCTACAACAATCACGCATGTCACAGGAGTTAGTGCTTTATCTTAATGTTAACCATTACTTATCCACGTACTGAGCATTGCATTGTATGTAAATGCAGCCAGTACACAAACCAGTAAGCACTCATGATTTGTTAGAAAACATCAAAACTTACCACAAGCAACTCTGTAAGAACACATTCTCTTAAACTCCTTGCCCCAGCCTAAAAACAAACAAATCCAGCACAGATTGACTTCGGCATTAAATGCTCAGTAAGTTATCATACAAAGCAACAAGCCAACAATTTCTGTTTTTCTATTGTAAAAAGTAAGTAGTTTCATTTGTTATCCACTACATGGGTAGGAAGGCTAACTAAAGGGGAGGGTGGGACTTCAACTGCCCACCAAGGCAAGAAAGGTAAGAAAGGTGACAAAAGCAAGACTGGATTGGATGGGATATGAAAACGCAAAATACATACATTCAAAATAATCAATCACAAAATAATATAGGCTGTAATTTCATCAAGGACTTTAGTAGGTCTTGTGCAGAGGAACTGCGCTTACAAAATCACTATCATTCAGTTCTCTTTCCCTGCACAGCAATCACGCGGACTGGTTCTGCATTGATTGCTCTTTGAATTGTGCCCACACAGCAAATTACTACAAATAATACAAACAACTACATGCAAAACTCTAATGCCCTACCTGATAATACACCGTCACTTCAGAGTTGGCATCCCCTTTGTTGAGAGTTTTCACCTTGCAGAGCAGGTGTGTATTTGGCAGATCCACCACCCGGAACTGCACAGGGCAGGGGTGGGCCAGGGGAGCAAACTGGAGCTTTCTGAAGGGAGCACAAAGAGAAAAGTGTCAGACACCTGCTCACGTCTCAGCCAAGAACAATGAGCCAGGCTTCACAATCCAGATACCACGGTGGTCAATTCACATTGTTCCCCTCCCCTTAAAATTCCTTCCTATTTAAATGAACAGAAGAAAAACCATAAGGTTTCTAGAATAAAGTTATATACTTGAAAGTCTTAAATCAATTTCAATTGTGCTTTCAGTTTTATTCCCACCCTAGCCCACGCTTTCCCTCCAGGAAAGTATAATTGAAGGGGAACTGTGTGGGAATCAGATACTCACGCAACAACACAACGCAGAAAACCTTTTGCTTCCTAGGAAAGAAAATGTACAATTAGTTTAACTTCAGAGATGAGAATTATTAGTCTTAATATACACTGCCAAGTTCAGGAAGGCATCGATTGCCTTGTTCCAGAACCCTTGCCAATGATCTGTGAATCTTCAAAGCTCTTGAAGATGACAAATTCTGCTCTCTTCTACTTTGCAGGGGAAAGAAAATAAAAGTAAAAAATACTTCAACATAATTTCTTGCTTGGGCATTTGTAGCCTTTCCCCAATAAAAATGTGGCAGCAAAAAAAGAACCCATGGAAGATGTAGACAGTGTAATACAACTTTGAATAGAAAGGAGACCAGATACAAGAAATCTAGAGGAGGAACCTCTCTTGCATGCTATGATGAAATACTTGGAATGAAACCCCAGCTCTGGTTGAGGGAAAGGCAGCAAACAATGGAACAGAAGAGCACAAGAAGACAGGTGACTACACGGTAGGTGTAAAGGATACCCACCAGCACAAAACATAGTTTAACTCTGCGATAACTACGCCTTTAATCTTCAGCTTAACTTTCAAGCAACGTGCCACAACAATAACTCAGCAATTACCAGAACCTCTATTTCCAATAATACTTTGACAAAAGTTTCCATGAATCTGCTTCTTTATTGTTAAAACAGTAAGCTTATCTGTCTACTGAGAAGCAGAGGCAACCTTGTATAAGTGGATCTGTGGCTAAACCTTGGCATGATCAGGTTTTTAAAAACTAAGACTTATGGCCTGTAGACAAAGCTCTTCCACATGAATTACGATTGAGAGATGTTAAGCTGCACTGCTGCATTTGACCTTGTCATTTGGCTGTATTACACCACAAATTTAGCAAGAAAATCAAGAGCTACACATTTGAAATTCCACTTGAAATACAGTGGAACACTGCCTGTGCAAAGACTGATCAGCTTTTAACATAAACTGCAACACAGAAACATACATGAGAAATAGAACAATTATATATCATGTTTAGTCAACACAGGAGTAAAATAGCAAGTGTCCTAGATTATATTGGCACTCTCAGGCCACCTGGATCTGCTAAAGTACTGGTGAAAAATAGGGCTGGCAAAATGGTTAGTAATAAGGTTTGCTGTAATTATGTTCAAAATAATTAAACGCAGCTATTTTACTAAAAGCGAACAAACAAACAAAAAAGACCAAAAACTGCAGATCCCAAATTTCATTGTCAAGCTTACCTGACATGTTAAGTTTCCTTGTGCTAAACCCTCCACAAATAGCTGTGATTTGAAAGCCTTAACAAAAGACGATAAAGACTCTGCAGAAATGCCCTTCAATAATCTCTGGTATTTATCTATGATAGGCCACTTGCCATGCTCCAAAATTACATGACATAGGTCTCTATAAGAAAAAACAAAAAAAAAAATTCAGAACTTTGGCAAGAAAAAATGTAGTTGACTTTACCCAGAAACATCAGATATTGGCCCCCCAAAAAAAACAAAGCAAGCATGAAACTACTGACAAGAATCAAAGGGGTTAATAAAATACAGGGTCTCAAACTTTTAAGCAAGAAATTCACGCATAGGATTAAGAATTTTCACCTTTGTATTAAACACTGTACCTATCATCACACAAATACTATTCTGCAGTACATCATTCAGAGAGGTCACTAAAAAATTGGAGAGGTTTTAGCAGAAACCTAAAAAAATATAATTGTTAAAAGTATTAAAAACATAAGAAAGTATTTTATACTGAAAGCTTTGCCATTCTTCTCATAAGCCAAACTGTGACTTGATCATTGACTTTAAGCAAGTCTCCAATTTTTATTTAATTGAGGGGGGGGGGTACATTCTTCAATAGTCTTTGGTGTGGTTATGTAAGCCTGTTCAGAAGCACAACTGAGAACTGTGAAAAGGGAAGGAGTTATAGAAAGCACCCTAAAAAACTGTTTGCCTTCCTGAGTTACAGAGTCTTTGTAAATCTCATTGCAATAAAAACCAAATCAATAGGAAAATCAGTCAGTGTCGCTATAGAAATATTTGAAGCCAAAAAGCCAACGATTTAGAAAAATAACATTTTGCTGAGAAACTGCATTAGCAAAAAATGATCCAACATAAGACAACCACAATATATCTTCCACTATACTGAATTTTTAGAGATGATATTTACCATTGGATTGCCTTTTTGCTGAAGTTGATTTTTTAACACACAGTGGAATTTCCAGTAAACTGGCTAACTCAATAATGGTTTATACAATTATTTGATGCACTTATCTCCCTCATTCTTCAGGGACCTATGCACTGTTTGTGCTACCTGTACAGCAGCCCACAAAAGGCTCAGTTTAATCCTAGATATTGGAGCAGAGCCTTTTAATCTACAGGTACACAAAAGTCTTTGAATTTCAGTTAGTCAATTCAAGCCAAAATCCTACAAAGACAACATAATGTACAAATGACAAACTAATTTTACAAAAGTGTCAATAGCTATTAGCGATATGAATGCTACAAAATCCTTTAGCTTCAATTTAGTATCTGAACACTCTTTACCTTCATAACAAGAGCAAGGCCAAAGAGTAGCAACCTCTAACTGCTCCTGCAGATAGGGTGGTAGTTTCCCAATCTCATTTTGATCATTTTGATTAATATTTTCTCCTTTGAGAAAAATCAGCACACAGTGCTAGCAGAATATTTACATCATCAGATTCACAGAATATCACACAAGATGTCAGATTATATTCATACAGTGCTAGCTACTGTCTTTTCTTTAAAGATTATGCAATGTGATTTCTATTGATCTGTGGAAGAATATTCTAGGTACCTTTCCTGCATTTCAGCTACAAAAAAGCTCTGACTCCAGTAAACTATCCTTTCCAAAACAAGCAGAAATTTTGCTGGCTGACACAAATTTTATGCAATATCAGTTTTGTCTACTTATCCTTACCTGTGGGGCAGCAGACCTCAAGTTTCTCCTCTTCTTTAACATTTTTTTTATTTTATAGAAACAAACAGAGGCTGTCTAACTGATAAGCAAAGTAAAAATAAAATTTCCTTCTGGAGAGAATGAGAGAAGTAGTGATAAAGATATAGGATGAAATGTGAGTGACACCGATGGCAATTAGAAAGAAGTAAAAGGCAGCTGGGCTGAAACTCTGGGAGTGGAATGACCCCAGCTGACACATATTCAGAAGATTTGGTAATCTAATGAGGAATTTTAACCTCAGAGAACATACACACAGGTGCTGTTGACAGAAAAAATGCAAGCAACTAAGAAAAAAATATACAGGATAACTATTTTAATATGTGAATTCATGTCATCTTTTGGCACCTGATCATTAGTCTTGGTACTTAGTATAAAGCAAAAATATTTGGCAGTTTGAAAATTGTGCTCACATATAATTATTGTGCTGGCATTCGCTATATTCAGCAAGAGCAGCAAGAGTATGCAAAGAACTGCATGGTAATTTCTGATAAAAAGACAGGCAACTCTTCAAGCAACTATATTACGCTACTATGACAACATAGGAAGAACAAAGATGAATGCCTTTTTTTTCCCCTATCACTACCCTAAAATTAAGCCTTTCCCACAGACACTCACTTGGCTAACACCTCTGATTTGATGAGCATATTGAAGTAAGTCTTCTTTAGTTCCTCTTTAACCATCTCAAAGACTCCTGGAGTAAAACTGAAGTCAGACAAATGGTCAATGACGAGCTGAAGCAGTAGCTGTAAAGAAAATATTGTTCCCTGAGAAATTCCCACTATGAGAAGGACAACTTGGTTCTTTTCAAAGCAACAAAATGTGAGACATAACAGAGCATTCAAAAATACAGTATTTAAACCTCTTATATTTTATTCAGGCAACAAATTAATTGCATATATATTTAAAAGAAAAACCATAAATGTATCAATTATTCAAAAATAAATAATCCATTATCAGAACATCAGTCAGACAACAATTCTGCTAAAACCATACAATTCCTTTTAGCAAGAATACTTATAACTGGATAGCTATCTCGTATTATAAAAAAAAATAATAAATTTAACTTAAAATACATGTAGTCAAGAAAACACAATGAAATTTCTTTACTTGAAAACAGGGAGACACAAACAGAGCAACGACCTATTCATATCGATGTGAAATCTAAACAGCAAAATCTTCACTTGTAACATCCTGCAGAATACACAAATATCTTGTTCACCTCTGGTCTTCCAATAAAACATTACAGAGGGATGAAAATTCATTCTGTTCCTTTAGTTCCTTTCAACCCTGTCTCGTAGTCAAAATGTATCTAGGACTTCAGAGATGCCAGTAAACTATACCCAGTGTATGTAAAGACAGGAATATCTTACATTAGGTTTTTCTTGTCCTATACTAAGATCTGAACTTATGTTCCCAGAGCTCCTAAAAAATTCCTTATATCTGAATAATTAGTTGAAATAGTCACTCTCACAGAGTTTGGCTTTTCTCTCAAGCAGACACCCCTGGGATGGCTAAAAAGCTTCTGAAAACCAAATCTGATAATTTGGAAACTGAGAGTAAAACTGCAGTTAGTAACCAAAGTTCTTCACAGGTCCAGAAGTCCACAGATAACACATGTTTTGTTTTTTTTATCTCTAGCTGAGATCCCTTAGGAGTGTGAGAATTTCACAGCCAGAGTTAGGTTCCCACACTATCAAAACCTTATCCATATTACAGACATATCTTTATTCTACTGATATAACTAGAAGCAGTTGATCAGTGAACATATTTGCAACTGCTCCCTTCACAGTACCAGTTTGGAGATCCGTCTGTGCCAATGACACTTCTTATAGACAGAGGAGGACAGTCAATATGATTGTGCCTCTAGCAGTTACCATCCACTTAAAAATACAGAACTGAATAGCTATTAGGAAAGCACTTTTTAACATCTGTATTGAAATGATTTGTCCCGGCTTGCTGTTGTGACTAATTATTCCTCCACAGCTTCCTACCCCTTCCACCGTCAAACAGTATGCCCCACACACATATCTGCTATTTGGCACTGGCCACGCTCTCAGTTCTTAGACCACTTCTGTTAGAGGAAGTCATGGGAGACTTTCATATGATAAGCATAAGTTAAAATCAGATTTGTACTGAGAAGAGTTGCGTTATACATTTCACATCAGAGCTCAGTATTTTTAAATTTTCATTTGATTTTCTTTCTTACTGCATGCAAAAAACCTTGACTTAGTTAAAACCCAATTGTTTTGTATTTAGCCTTCTTTACTCCACACTCATTCTTTTTACAATTCACATCCTAGTGTCCAGCCTAAGCCATAAGTCTTTACCTCACTGATCTTACAGTTTTTGAGGGACTCAGCAGAAAAATGCACATGGTTCTTTACTACATGCAAAACCATTATCCCTCAGTAGACTTTAAAACTAAATAGAATTATTAATTAATGAATAAAATGCATTATATAAATAATGCATAAAAGTAAGCATTTCAGGCTTCTGACTAACATAAAATAATGCTCAACATTTGATTTGTTGAGCTCTATTAAGGATGATGTTAAGACTTACAGGTAGCTTATGATTGAATCCTTTCACTCTAATGATCAAACCATGCTCTCCAGCCACCAGTTTGTACTCCAGTTTAGCAGTATCAGCTCCATATGCTGGTTCTGACAGATTCAGAGACAGGATGCTTACAAAAATATCTAGAAGGACTACACTACATGAATGAAAAAGGAAGTTAGAATGCGAATCAACATAGAAAAGAAACAAATATTCAATCCAATAGTTCTAAGAACAAGTTGTTCTAGGGTAAGACCTTGAAGCACCTAGTTAGGTATTACACACAAAGATGTCTTCTAGATTTTCTGGCATGAGACTTAGAAATGTTGTGTATCAGAGGAAAAGGAAAAAATGTTATTAAAACCACGCTGTATGATAACTTGCAGCACTTTCTAGTATGTGCAAGGATAACAACTACCTTGAACAAAGAATTAATTTTTAAGGACTATATTAACACTCAGTAAAATTTGTTTGCTACATACTAACAAGGCTAAAAAAAAATGTGTTAGCTGCAAAAAAAAGGTAGCTGCAAAGATGACATTTGAAAGATTCACAGCTCTATCTGAAATGGAAGTGTCTGTGATGGAGTCAAAATAGGTATAAACACATTTTATCACTTTAAGGAATCTTTAACGATGGTTAAGAATTGTGAAATGCCCACCATATTAAAATCAAGCATTTCTTTTAAAATTTCAAAAACATGTACTGTTAAGGCCTGGTGAAATAAAGGCTTCTGAAGATATTTGAAATAAATGATTCTCCCTTTCATGAAGCTCTGTAGCAATCTTACAACAGAACTACTATCCATCTTGTTACAACAGACAGTCTTGATCAAAGGTTAGCGGGCATGAGGCACAAAGGGGGATGTGATATATTTATGGAGTTACAAGCAGAACTCAGTAATTTACACACTTCAGGGCTGTTCTGCATCAGTTTCTTTCACAGCTACACACTAGAGATGTCTCAGTTTGTTGAATGTGCTGCCCACAGCTGATGGCCCATTCCAGCAGTCTCTGATCAGCTTTCTGTTCTAGCAGATTACTCTGATATAATTCTTATAACCATAAGGGTTATAAGCTACTTTCATACTGAGTCAGCTGCACTAACATCTAGTATGCATTTCCGTTTTCCTGCAAAAACATTCCTTTCCCTAACTCCTCAAAATATAACTAACAAGCTACAGAGCAAATTAAATGAAAGGAATGGGATCTTTAATCTGTATCGAACATGTCAATTGCTACTACTTTATCAAAGATCTAATTTTCTGCCTTAGTCTGCTGGGCAGATGACAGAGAGATATTCTTACCTCTCCGCAGACTGTTGTACCTGTGGAGAAATTAGGTGGAAATGTACATAAACTGAGAGGGAAAAAAAAAAAAAAAAAAAAAGAGAGAGAAAAAGAAGAAAGGAACAACTGCAGAAACAACTTCAGCTTCAATTCAAGAATGCAAATACTTCTGAATAGCTTTCTTCTAGCCAGTTCCATAATTATTTTCACCAACTTACATACTCTGAGCTACTTTTAAATTTAAAGAGAACTTGGAGTTGTAGTCACTTTGCATTAAGAACCAAAAAAGACACTCATATGGAGAAGACAGATTGTACTTATTCAGTTTTTAAATTGCTCAAGAGTTTATCTGCTCTGATTTTCTTTATAGGCACTAATACCACAAATGCACAGATATTTGACATAGTTACCCCTCTGTGTCAAAATCAATAAGAAGGCATCTGAAAAAAACAACCAACAAATACTCTTACAGTGTATAAATACTACATCAAAAAGATTCTCGATAAGAACTTAAGTACATGTATATCAGATACAGAATATTACTACACTAATAATGGTAATATAGTTTCATTTTGTATTGCCTCAGTGACTCCAGAGAATATATTTTGAGTATACAGAGAAAATATAAATGTCTGGGGAGAAGGAAGGGTTGCAAGGTTCTGGGCCAGGGTTTCTTGGGAACTTTTTTGGTGTTTTTTTTGTTTTTTTGTTTTTTTTTTTTTTAAATTATAACCAGACTTGCAGTCCCCAGATTGGTTTCTTCCTTCCAGATGCTTTAACTCCTGAGAGGCACACTTTTTTTTTTCTTTTAAAGTTAGATCTGTATTAGAAAGCAGTGCTTTTTTAATCTGTTTTCCTTTAATAAAAAGTGGGGGGGAATAGATTGACTTATTAGAGGGGCTTTCAGTTTTTAAAGTAGCTTCATGTTGAGTCAGAGTTCAAAGAATCAATAAGAATGACAATACTTGGTCACAGTGTTCTACTGACACTTGAATTTGAGATAGATCCTGCAATTCACACCTATAAGGAAAGATAATCAAGTGAGAATATCTTTGAGCTCTTGTACAGTGAAAAAAACAACTGTGTTAATCTAAGTAGCACATCAGGCTAGCATAAATTGAGATATTCAAGTTTCTATAACCCAAATAACACAACTGAGCAACAAAGCTCTAATCATAAGCAGATACCTCTGATATACTAGACTGCATGACAAAGTACCCAGTTGGAATTGGGTTACCTGGGAAAGGTGAAGTTAGATGAAAAAGTGAAAAACAAAACCAGAAAACACTTTAGCTTCAACAGAAATAATGCAGTTTTAATGGACCATGGAATAGCAGGTACCCACTAAGAAGATGACCTTTTCTCCAATACTGGAATAACAAAGTTATCAAAAAAAAAAAATGGTAATAAACCAACTTCAACTTTACAAAATCAATTTATGTGAGAGTAAAAGAACAAAAGACATGACCTTTTCTTTACTATTAAATAAACCAATTCTATTGTACTGAAGTCTTCCTTTAGAATGTAAGTTATTGCCTGACCTTTCCTATTCCATTGCGGTATACAAAGTGATTGGGCAAGCATTTAAGCTCTTTTCTTCTTCTATAAATCCAACAGACAGAGTTTTATGTAACCAGAGAGAATAAAATGTGCACACCTTTCCTAACCTCAGCATAGGAGCTTCTGTAGCTACCAGCACAGGTCTGTATGATCTCCCTCAAAGTTGAGTCAAAGACCACATAGGCTAACAATCCACAGATGCAGGTGCTGGAAGAGGAGTGGATATTTGGGCTAGGGGCCCAGAGGGCAAAAGCAGTAAAGACTGGGGTATCACTGACTATATAAATGAAATCACTGTAGTTCTGCATTAACATCTCTCTCCAGACTTGTCTTAGAAAAAGGTATTCCATGTAACAAGCCATCTGCCTAACCATCTATTTAATAAAAAGGGGGAAAAAAAAATAGAGACTATACAATGTTTACAGGAACCTGGAGAACACTTTGTTTTGCACATTTGTTAATACATTAGTTACCTTTAGGTTTCCTGAATTTATTGTCTTTCTTGTACCACATGCATCCCTGTGGTGTATTCAGAACTTTCACTGGATAATCTACCTCAGGGAAATCAGGTGCCTTTAGGGAGAAGTCAGTGGCTAACACAGAAACACAACACACAGGTTTTAGCTTCAGATCCACCATCCAAGTACACTATTTTCAAAACAGACTTTTCCAATCTCTTCTATGTCATTGTATACAACTCTTCGGACACAAATAGTTAATTAGGCCCCACAGCAATAATTTGACCAATATTCCAATCTTCAAGCAAAGTGCAAATAGACAATTATTCAAAACGCTAGTATTCTTTCTGATTGTGCTGTCTTTCTAAAACAGTGTGGCTGGCCAAACCCTATAATGCAACCTCAGATTTTCTTTGGCCAATTACAGATTTTTATGAATGCATTAAGACTGTTTTATTTCACTTTGCCTTAAAAATACAGTAAAGAAACAATGTCAGATAGAATGATAGAAAAAGAAAAAATGAATACCTCTTTAAGTAATAAAAGGCAGACACTGCCTTAAAAATACAGTAAAGAAACAATGACAGAATTTGATTCAAAAACTGAAATTTGTAAAAACACAAAATTTAAACATGTAACAAAATGTAAACCAAAATTTAACACAAATAAACATCTTCCTATAGCCATAGAAATACTGAAAATGCACAGACCATTTTTCAGATATTACTTACTATCATGCAGAACAAGCTAGGGAATAAAACAATGACAGAATTTAATCAGGTATAGGTTTCTTACCTAGATATTCATTTTCTTCTGGATGGTGCAAGTCCAGATTTATCTCAAAGTCAAAGGCCCACACAGCAGCCCAGTATTGCTCAATGTCTGTGAAGAACATGAAGCCACTTTTAAAATGTGTTTTCAAACAAACTTTGAAAATCATATGCATTACCATTCTCAGTTACCAAAAAAATCAGCTATATGCACTGCTTGCGTTTTCATCTCTTTACTTATTTACTTAAGCAGAAAATTCTGTTCTCCCATATAGAAGATACCTGGCCCCTAACGTTAGGTAGGCTAATTTACCACAAAAAAAAAAAAATTAGAAGGAAATTGCTACTGAACATTCACAAAAACACCCAGTCCCTTTACAACATTCATACAGTCAGGTTAGCAATTAAAACTCATTTAGAGATCATAAAGGCTGACTAGTCAAATTTCTTTCTTACATATTTAGATGCGTGCTATTAGGCATTACTCTTTTACCTTTCTAATAGCTTTAATTTCCATTTGGAAAAAAAAAATCTTTAAAGGCTTTTACCTTCTACACTGTACTGTGTCTCAAACCATCTCTCCTTTAGAGGGCACTTTCCCTCATTGTTGGTGGACAACAAACAAAGATTGGCTCTCTGAGGGCAGAGCAGGTCAAGGACATTGGCAATTACCTATATCAATGATGAAGAAACTTAATTAAACTCCAAATACACACACAAAAAGTACTTAGTAAAGGTCCTTCAATTTTACTCAGTACTCTCAATATACTAAATCTTTCTATCTCTAATACATATATTCAAAGCCGTGGGTCCACTCACTTCAGGTTTGTAGTCAAACAGGAGTTGATTTCCTGTCAGAAAGTCCTGCTTACAGAAAAGATGCATGTTTTCACAAATATTCTCAACGTAAGTAATTGGATCAACCTGCAAAATGAATAAATATTTGTTTCATATCATTAACAACTAAAACATCAATCTATTTTACATTTTTTGGTGCTATATAGAGCTTTTCTAACTTTGGTTGCCCAATATATTAAGCAGCCATCCTTGCAACAAATCAAAGAAAAAAAGACAAGAACATTTTCTGCCCCTGTAGTTAGGATCATATTCAAAACAAGTTTCTATCTGATCCTTTCATAAAGATAATAATAATAAAAAGATTACTTGATTACAGATATGTCCAGAGGAAGAAAAAAAGGATATGCTATGTGCTTTGGGAGGGCACATCTCCCCCACTGTATCTTCCCCACCTTCCCATGACCAAAATTCTAGTAGATCTCTGAAGAAGAAAGCACATGGGTGCCACAAAAAATACATTTCATTTTTTCATACCTTCCAAATGTGTCATGAACACTTCCTCATGATTCTCCTTCTCCTGGTGCACATATAAATCCAAGAGCTTTCAGAATCTTTTTGCATGACTTTTAAAAGCACAAACACTTGTACCAGAACTGCCAAGATCCCAAGCCAGAATTTATTCCCACTGCTGAAACACGCTTACTTTAAAAACGTGCTTTCCCCTCAAAACAGCATGTCACAGCAACATCTGTGCTTGGGACCATTACAGAAAGTCGAGTTGTCCAACAAGGCTTCACAGGCAGATTTTTTATGATGCCAAGAAAGTTGGTATTTGCTCATATTTCAGAGCCCTACACATGAATTTCAATAAATACAACAGATATGAAGAGGTTAAGGAAAGCATAAGCAATAATGCTGAGAGGGGAAAGACAGTTCAAGTGAGCCTTACTTGCTGACCAACCACACTAGTCAAAGATAACACACACGCATATACCACAACTACTATAAAATGAGGTTGGATTCAAGCTGTACCCATGAATCCTATGGCTGATAAATAATAGTATCTGAAGAAAAAACAATGCCATTGCAATTTTCAGGTCCAACTAAAATCTAAATTCTGAGAGAAACTGAGAACCTTTATGAGCCTGATCATCTTTGATTCTCAGCATGAAAATTGGGAGAAAAAAAACAACACCTATTTCAACCTAAGATAAGCACATTAATTTTATACTGACTTTTTTTTTTCCCCTAGAAGTGTTTTAACATACAGAACACCTTTCTATTGTGTAATCAAAGTGTCAATTTTGCAAAAGATTTCAATTTCAAACTTTAATAATCCACATTGCAGGAACATAAAATCATCAACCAGCACATCAGTACTCTGAGCAAGGAACCATACAGAGACACAGTAAAGAGTGTGTGTTTCAGTAAAGAAACACAATAAATTTATTAAGACTTTGCAGAGGAGATGACTTCTACTTGTGGAAAAAAACAAACATGCACTGAGTCAAGAATGGAGTGGACACAAAAATCTTAAAACCTTAAAATTAAAAATTAAATGGAGAGGAACAAAACCTCACAAGAAGAAGATCCCTTTTGGAAAGTATCATAGACTATTCAAGATGCATTATTATAAGAGGCATCTTTTAATAGGAAAGCTTTAAAAGTCATAAAGGCTATCATTTTTCTATCTTAAATGTGATGCTTTTCTGTTTAGGAAGTAATCTTTCTTCCAACACGTCTTTAAATGGAAAATTCTAATTCCATTTACTGTAAGAGAGTACACAGTGAAAGTTACAAAATTAAAAAAAAATGTCTCAGAGATATTCTTATACATAACAGCTGAAAAAGAGCTATGTACCTGATCCTGGAAAGAAAATTCATTATCATTTATCTTCTGGATCTCTTTCCAGATTCTGTAAGTGAAAAAATTTTATTCATTATACTGTTACATTTCTTTAGAGACAAATAAGAAGACACTTTTAGGCAAAAAAAAAAAAAAAAAAAAAAAAAAAGATTTGAGTCAAAAAGTACCATATCTCTATTGAATACTTTCTTAAGATAACACAAGGGAAAAATGCAGTATACTAGAAATATGCAGATAACTCCTTTCAGTCTGAAAGCTCAAAACTTTGAAGAAGATTTTTCAGACAAATCTAATTAGTCCTTCAGCTAGTTTCTTCCTCCATATTACTGGCTTCCTCAATTTTTTCAGAGAAGTAACAGTTGAAGAGTTAAACAGAAAACATAATGGAAATGAGAACTGAAAACTTGTGATTCCAATTCACAGTTATACCTGACTGACTGGAAACATTTGAGATCACTCTCAAATTGCAATGTTTAGTGGAACTTTTACCAAACCCGTTGAAAATGAAATTTTCAGTTAGTAATTTGGATTTCCAACTAAAGGAATTTTCAAATGAAATGCTATCAAAATACAGAAAACATCCTTTCAGATGCAGCTAAGCTAGCTGAAAGGATTACTGTCCTCAGACTATCCAAAGCCACTGGACCTCCTCATTCCTCTGTTGTGTTTCAAGCTGCTTGCCCAAGACACTCCTTTTCATTTTTTTAACTAAATGAGTTACATTAGCAACAGCTCTTTCTTTAAAGTTTTAAAGCTGTTCTGTTCCCTGTTGGATGACCAAGCTGAGTTATCAGTTTTAAGTTTGTTAACACTAGAAATTAGTCTCTAGCAGGACATGGAAGATGAAAGAGCTGTAGGTGACAGAGGACATGAGGACAAGGGTGTTCCTTAGAATTTAAAGGACATGTATCTAAGTGGAATGGATAGCCATACACAAGATGAGAATCTTCAGTAATCTTTTTTTTTTCCTACTGAAATTGTGATGAGGCACTGGATTCAATAGTTACCTTTTATCTGGGCCCACTTTCTGCAACATTTTCATATATTGGAATACAACATGTGCAACCTGAAGATAGACAAAAAAAGTAGCTTCTTTTGAAATCTGCATGGCAAAATGGCAAGATATTGAAATTACAATGAAATTTACCTCATAGAAATGCTCATAACCTTCACTAGTCAAGGTAATAGAAATCATGAAGATAGAATAAATGGAGTTCTGCTCAAATCCTGTCTCAGCATTTCCTCCAGATAAGGCGACAGCCCAAAGCCTATTGAATAGTTAAATCCAGTCTTAATTACTCCAGTTAAAAATTTCCCTGAAGTATCACCTCATTGTTAAAGTTTATCTCGGTTCAGTAAAAGCTGCTTTAAAATTTAATCCTAACTGATTAAGCCAAAGAGATGTTTCTCTCTACAATGTCAAATACGTTCAAATTAAAAATCTGCAAGGCGGGCATCCTTCCAGACTACATTCAACATATCATAATATTAAATATATATTTTTAATTTAGAACAAGAGCAACATATACTCATGAATATGTTAACAAAGTCAGAAAATCTTCCTGTTATAATTGTTGTTTTTAGAAGTAAAAACACATATGGTACCTTAATTGAGTGTTTTGCATCACTTAAATCACATCATAATGGTAAAAATTAAAACTAACTATGGACATTGTTTAAAATTTGGCAAATTATATTGTTTTCCCTGCTGCACACTTTAAAAAGACAAAATACATACTTTTTCCTAAGAAAAGAGAGAATGCTGCCTTTGCCTTCATGTCCTACCAGCCAGGAGATATAGCGCAGTGGCTTTACCCTAGAAAAATGATTAGGTGACAGTTACAATGCAAAAAGAAAAAAAAAAAAAATCTTTGAAAATTTGAAAAGAATGAACATTTCACTTTTCTTTGATAGAGTACTTCTAGTGCCAGTTATCACTAATAGTTTTCAGACTCCAGATTTGGAGCTGTAGGAGAGATCTCACTTGCTGTCACAGTTCGGGTACATAACTAAGATTTCAGACATACAGTTCTGCTTTGTAGTCTCTGTTGATGAGCTCTGTGTTAGTTTGTGTAAAAGTCCTTTGGATCACCTTGCTAAGGAAAGAACCCAGACCCCTAACTCCAGTTTTAAAGGCCACTGGAGGTGATTCAAACACATACACTGCAGGTGTCAAATTGTGCCACACACTAAACCCTTTGTTGATCTAGTTCCTAGTGCTTGTCAGTGAAAGTAATAGCAAAATTAAGAAATTATAAGTGGAAGTGTCTCCAATATACTTCAGAAAAGTAATATCTTTACTAGCATCTTTATTAAAGGCGACTAAAATCCACATAATCCTTGGTTCCAAAATAAAAAGAAACAACAACAAAAACCTTTTACCTTATTTTACCTTACTGAACACTATTTTAGATCATAGAATCATAGAATCATAGAATATCCTGAGTTGGAAGGGACCCTTAAGGATCATCAAGTCCAACTCTTGACACCGCACAGGTCTACCCAAGTTCAGACCATGTGACTAAGTGCACAGTCCAATCTCTTCTTAAATTCAGTCAGGCTCGGTGCAGTGACCACTTCCCTGGGGAGCCTGTTCCAGTGTGCAACCACTCTCTCTGTGAAGAACCCTTTCCTGATGTCCAGCCTAAACTTCCCCTGCCTCAGCTTAACTCCATTCCCGCGGGTCCTGTCGCTGGTGTTAATGGAGAAAAGGTCTCCTGCCTCTCGACACCCCCTTACGAGGAAGTTGTAGACTGCGATGAGGTCTCCCCTCAGCCTCCTCTTCTCCAGGCTGAACAGGCCCAGTGCCCTCAGCCGTTCCTCGTACGTCTTCCCCTCCAGGCCTTTCACCATCTTCGTAGCCCTCCTCTGGACACTCTCCAACAGTTTCATGTCCTTTTTATACTGTGGTGCCCAGAACTGCACACAGTACTCGAGGTGAGGCCGCACCAGCGCAGAGTAGAGCGGGACAATCACCTCCCTCGACCTACTAGCGATGCCGTGCTTGATGCACCCCAGGACACGGTTGGCCCTCCTGGCTGCCAGGGCACACTGCCGGCTCATATTCAACTTGTTGTCTACCACGACCCCCAGATCCCTCTCTTCTAGGCTGCTCTCCAGCGTCTCATCGCCCAGTCTGTACGTGCAGCCAGGGTTTCCCCGTCCCAGGTGCAGGACCCGGCACTTGCTCTTATTGAACTTCATGCGGTTGGCGATCGCCCAGCTCTCCAACCTATCCAGATCCCTCTGCAAGGCCTTTCCACCCTCATTCGAGTCCACAACTCCTCCAAGTTTGGTGTCATCAGCAAACTTGCTCAAAATGCCTTCTATTCCTACATCCAGATCGTTTATAAAAATATTGAAAAGTACCGGCCCTAAAATGGAGCCTTGAGGGACCCCACTGGTGACCGCCCGCCAGCCTGACGCAGCCCCATTCACCATAACCCTTTGGGCCCTGCCCGTTAGCCAATTGCTCACCCATCGTATGATGTTTTTATTTAGCTGTATGCTGGACATTTTGTCCAGTAGGATCCTATGGGAAACCGTGTCAAAAGCCTTGCTGAAGTCCAAAAAAATCACATCAGCTGGTTTCCCTTGGTCTACCATACGGGTGATCTTATCATAAAAGGAAATCAGGTTAGTTAGGCAGGACCTACCCTTCACAAACCCATGCTGGCTGGGACCAATGACTGCTTTGTCCCCCAGGTGCGCCTCAATACGTTCGAGAACCATCTTCTCCATGATTTTACCAGGCACTGACGTGAGACTGACAGGCCTGTAATTGCTAGGGTCTTCTTTCTGACCCTTCTTGAAAATCGGCACAACATTTGCCAGCTTCCAGTCTACCGGGACCTCTCCAGACTCCCAGGATCGTTGAAAAATAATTGAGAGAGGTTCCGCGATGACGTCCGCCAGCTCCTTCAGCACCCGGGGATGAATCCCATCCGGACCCATGGACTTGTAGGGATCCAGGTGGAGTAGCAGATCCCGCACACGTTCAGGGTCGGTTGGGAGTTTGTCATCCCCACCGTCCCGGTCCTCCAGCTCGGGGCACCCTGGGTCCCGAAGCCCATCATCGGCATTGAAGACAGAGGCAAAGAAGGCGTTAAGCGTCTCTGCTTTGCCTATGTCATCGCCTGTGAGAAGACCTTCCCTGTCAAGGAGCGGCCCTATGTATTCTTTAGTTCTCCTTTTTCCATTCACATATCTAAAAAAACCCTTTTTATTTTCTCTCACAGACACAGCCAGCTTCAACTCTAGGTGTGCTTTAGCCACACGAATTTTCTTCCTACAGACACGAGCAGCATCCCTGTATTCTTTCCATGTCACCTGGCCCTCCTTCCAGTAGCGAAACACTCTCTGTTTCCGCCTAATCTCCATAAGAATGTTCCTGGTCAGCCACGACGGCCTCCTGCCCCGCCTGCCTGACTTGCGATATTTAGGAATTGCCTGATCTTGTGCTTCTAGGAGGCATCGCTTAAAGAGTGACCAGCACTGGTGGACATCAAGGCCTTCAAGAGCAGCTTCCCAGGGGACCTTGCTGACTAGTTCCCCGAGCAGCCTGAAGTCCGCCTTCCCCATATCTAGGGATGAGGTTTTGGTGGCACTTTTCCTTCTGTCACCGTAAATTTTGAACTCAACCACTTCATGGTCGCTATGACCGAGGCGGCCACCAATCACCACATCTCCCACCAGACCCTCTCTGTTTTCTAGCAACAGGTCTAGGAGGGCACCTTTCCTAGTTGGCTCCGTTAGCACCTGCACCAAGAAGTTATCATCTAGGTGCTTCATGAACCTCCTGGACTTGCTCGTGTCAGCCGTGTGGCACTCCCAGTTAACGTCTGGCAAGTTGAAGTCCCCCATAAGGACAAGGGGAGTTAATCTCGAGGCCTCTCTTAGTTCTGTAAAGAATAAGTTATCGGCGCTATCGTCCTGGCCAGGCGGTCTGTAATAGACTCCCACAACGACATCCCCTTTATTCGTTCGTCCCTTGATCCTTACCCAGAGGCTCTCAACTTTGCCATCGCCGACCTGAAGTTCCACACAGTCCAGCCCCTGCTTCACATACATCGCCACCCCACCACCTCGCCTACCCTGCCTGTCCCTCCTGAAGAGCCTGTAACCGTCTATCGCAACACCCCAGTCACAGATGCTATTCTCAAAGCACCAGTAGCATGAAATATATTACCTGAAATTATTCTGTTTTGTGGTATTACCATGAGATGAGTTGTTGATCATTTATTGGCTTCCCAACACAAACTGTTTTATAAACAACATGAAATCAATATATAATGTAAATTAACGATAATTGCATAATTAATGTAATGAAAGTCTAAACATCACTTTACCTGTAATTTCTCTCTTGTGGGGGCAGTGCCCAAGTAATATTCAACAGATGGATGTTACTGACTGGGACAACTGTAAAATAAATTTATTCATTGAAAATAGAAACGTGTTATTATTTCCAATACTTTTAATCCCAAGAACCATCTGTTAGCAAGATAATCTGTTTGATGAAAAAAAAAAATGCATATGCACTTGTGCATGTGGAAATACATCAAATATACACACTAATTCATTAAACTACCATCCACTGCTCTGTTAAACCATCGTCAATAGGTATGGTTTACATGTTATCCCATGGCTTAATAGGATAGTCACAGTAATCCTGACTTTCTGCAAATAAAATATAATTATCTGTGAGAGAGTCAAATCACTTTGTTATGAGATCCATATGCAGAGAAATAACTCCCTCACTTTCAGAAGGGGATTAGTTTATTGCAGTCAATATCATAATTTTCATCTCAGTTTTCCATACTCATGTTTTCTTTTTTATCACTGAGAAATTGCCAGCAACATGACACAGAACCAATCTGACAGCTCCTAGGGGTTGGTGAGCAGTTTTGCACAACAAAGCAGGCTCCTGCAAAAAGTGAACAAGAATCCTTTGCGATCAGGGGAAGTGGACTGAAGAGTAGCAGGACTGAGAATTGTATTATGTAGCTATAAATAATAGCGCTCAAACCCCAGAATCTGAAGTTATATGCCCTTATGCAATATGGAAGGGGCAGTGTCTTGCCAAAAACTACAGAGGTGGAGAATATACGTACTGGTATATGTTTAGATGAGGAAGAGCATTAGTGATCAAAGATGTACAAGAGAGCCTAAGACACTGCTAATTTGAGGCCTGCCTATCCATTGCTCCTAATAGCTATGAGACCCCTGAACAAAAGTGAAGGACGGGTATTGTGAAAGGGTGTGCTTACTGATAAAGCAATCTTTTTCTGGATACAGCAGAAAGGGTTGCTATGGCAACCCTGAATGAATTTAACTCATTGCCTGCACATAAAGTCTCTCTGCAAGGGCTCTCTTGAAAGTTGAGCCTTTGCCTGCTTCTTGCTAGGGAACCCTGAAAATTACACAAAGGTTTTACAAATAAGGATTGCACAGGCAATGGATGGTATTTCTGTATCCATCAGATCAAAGACTGCTTGAAGGTACTATTATCTATGCATGAGGAAAGCAATGTACTATTCCTGAAAGAAGTTTTCAAATGGCTGTAGACACTGGAAAATCTGATGCATGCAGGGAGCAAGGAAGGTCTGGCAGTTTTCTGTGAGAAGTCGGGACAGGTCTCTCTGCCTGTTTGCTAATGAAGCCTTATGTTTGGATTTCCTGACCTATTAGACTAGTTTCCTTCTTAGAAAATAACAGAAAATGAAAGAACCAAATATCAGAATCAAAGAAAAAAGAAATACAAGAACAATTAAAAGGCACGTGGGCACAGGTAAAAAGATTAAAAAGAAAATCTAACTCAACTTCTTGTCAAAGTATAACAGAGAGCGTGAATGAGGTCCACTCAGTGCAGTTTGAACATGTCTCTAAAGGTAAAATGTTGAAGTTTATGTTAGTTATGCACTGACCCAGGTCTCTCACCTCTATAAAGTTTGTGAAATTCTGGTGTATCAAAAGGGTCTGTCAGATGATCAAAACTTGGTTTTGGTAAACCACTTCAAAGAAAAGAAAAAAAAAAAATTAGCACAATGTTTATTGTACACAAGCAAGCAGTAGCTACTTCGTAGCCCAGCTTTCAAGTATCATCTTGAACTGTTCAACAAAACTAAGATACCCTTTCAAGTAACACGGACCAGAACCTAGGCATTCCCATTAAAGAGGTAACATTTTCAACATTCCTTTGACTATTTCAGATGTACAGCCTTCTTGTAGGCATATCCCTCCCCTATGGGAAGCTTGTGGGCTAAAGGTTAAATAAATACCTTTGCTCCCTGCCATCTGGGGGAACCTTCAAACACTTCAGCAAATTTGTATAAACAAAATCATCTTCCACAGAAATATGTGGATAGAATAAAGCCCTTAGCCAATTTCTAACTGAAGAGCTTGAAATGGGCATTGACATAAGGTACCTCTTATGACACACCAATATTTTGTGGGAACTACTGAGAGGACAATTCACAAAGGCTAATTTCAGTCAAGATGTACCAGATTCTTTCTGTATCTCAGAAGAAACCACTGTAAACAAGCTCCCATAATAATATAATATGTAAGTTGAAGTAACAATTCCACCATAAACAAAAATAATTTAAATAAATAATATTTAATTTCTTAATTTGTGAAAATAAAATATAATGATTTGGATTAATTTGTACCACATCCCTGTTACTTTTCAAGGCTAGAAATTTTAATACAATGGACTACACTCCAGCTTCTAATTCTGACTTAACAAACGGGTTAGAACCAAACAGATTCACTTTTCAAATGAGAAAAAAAAAAAAACAAAAAAACAAAAAACTTCATTTAAATTCACAAAGAGATTCACATGAGATATAACTCTCTTCCCTGTAACTAAAGAAGGAACAGAAGTGTAACAATGATCTATGGAACATACTAAATGCTATCAAATACATATTAAAGAAACATTTTATGAATTTACTAACTTCTAAAGACGATGTTGTCTTAATTTAGTCGGTGAAAATAATAAGACAATAAGAATCAAAACCTCTGTAGATACAAGGAAAAGCAACTGCATACAATTTTGCATGCTTAGAACCTAGTTTTACAGACATGAGAAATATCAAAAAAGAATCTTACTTATTTGGAATCTGTGAAAAAATTTCTGTCACCCAATTCTCCAAAGTGTTCAAAGTTTCTAGTGAGGAGAAAAAAAAAAAAAAAGAAAAAGCAGAAATACATCTTTTCAAAGGGCACGAGCATGTTTTCAGGAAAGTAAAAGTAATTCATAAATCTTGCAAACTTAAAACTATGTTAAATTAGGGATCCAAAGTAGGGTTATTAGAGCTTTCAGCCACATACATTGACACAAAAAAGAACCAAGTAGAAATATTCAGAGCATGTTCATCCGATTTCTCCAGTTTCAACAAGTCCCATAGGTATTTGTTCTCCATAAGCCAGAAATGAAAATCATGTAAATTTTGCTTCTCTTACAATAAACCAGAACAAGCAAACAAACAAACTAATAAATCAGTATCAAGATTTAATATGCATATTCTTATACTACAGCCCTTCTATATCTAAAGTAATAATACTAAAAATATGTATATTTATATAGATACTGTCTTCAGATACAGATCACTTCTTGTATATGCTTTTAGCTGAAGAACTAGAACTACAATTCACATTTCTGTCTTTCACAAATAAAACCTTAAGCCAATGCATTTAACTGTATTATGACTTCTGATAATGAATGCGTCAAGATAACCCAAACAGTGTGTTAGCAATATGCTATCCATTCTAATGCTATCAAACAGGATATTTATTTTAAGAAGATAAAACAACTAATTCCCACACAGAAGAAAACAAAAAATTATCTTACCTAGAAAATTCTCTCATTGTAAAATATGTTAAAATTAAAATACAGAACTCAGCTGGTTCCTAACTATCAGAGAAATGTAAATGCCAGTTCTCAGGATAACTTACATTCTGGTTTGATTTTCATTCAAACACAATAATATAAACAACACTGCATTAAGCACTTGTATTCCCAAAAAGGTTTATAAAACAGTTTAGACAATTACGGTAGAGTCATTCTGTCATAAAAAGCTTAAGTCAAAACAGAAAATTACTTAGGAGGAATATACAAAGCTTATATCTGGTATTACCTTTAGATTGAACAACCAAGTTCATATAAGGAGCAGAATAATAGTTCTGCCAAAAATCCTTCAACCTTGTATAAATATCAATGTTACTTTTTTTTGGCTTGTGTTTTAATGTCTCTGCATTACCTGTAAAAGTTAAGAAAGCAACCAGTTAGCTGTTTCTGTATTGGCAGGACTCTTCTGCTCAAGGGCTAACTTTTAGATATTTTGTAGAACGGAAATTCAGTAAAATAAATGGAAATCTAGGCAGCATAAAAAATGTGATTATAAATGTTCAAGCCTGAAAAAATAAAAAACATTTCACATTTATACAGCTACAAACAAGAGTCTGGATAAACACATGAAACTCTGGACAATAAATCAGTATTTTTAACTACTTAATTTACTTATAAGGAACCCCTTGACATTCCAAAAGAACAATATTTTCTTGAACGAATACATTTTAGTTAATATCTATAGTCAGATAAGTTGTGAAAAGACTGGAGAAGAACTCAAAACTTTTACCAAAAAGGTGCCATAGTTAACAGAATGACAGGGAGTTTTATTGTGATGGAAAAGATACAGGGAGCTTTGATTCAATAGCCCAAGCTACTAAGCCCAGTAGGGCAAGCATGCCTTTGTCCCAGTCATTTAAACAGAACTTACCCCAGAAAAACTTTCTCATTGGATACCCAGGTCTGGCAAGGCTTCCTAGTAGTAGCTCCCATCTGTTTGTATCACAGGGCTTTGCTAACTGGTACTCTGTTAAAGAATTTGAACAGTATTGTCATTGGTTTCAAGGCAATATTCCTATAAAGGGACAACATAATTTTAACAAAGAAAAAATTGAGGTATATTCTGACATCAAATATATCTTCCAGTCAAACCTGGCCAGATTTAATATTATCAGTATTCCTAACTGTGATGTACAACACAAGAAGGAAAGTGATTTAACATTTATTTTAAAGCTGACACTCTTCAACCTCTCTTCATATATTGAGAAATCTCAATAAAAAAACTTTCACAATTCCTTCGGTGAACATCTTTAACCTATTGTTACTTCAGTTTGCCAAAATTCTGTCTTCGTTCGTTAATGCCTTTTGAGGTGCTTCTATGGAGTAAATTTGCCTTACTTCAAAACAAACAGTAATTCTGATTTTCTAATAGAATATACTATTGCTTTCATGAATACTGTCATCTCTGCAATATTACTATCTACTCTCACTGCTCTACACTCACTACATCTCACCATTCTTAATGACAGACTCTAAGTGTTCTTTACCACTAAAGTATGGATGTGAGGAAGGCTCAAAGAAGTTCAGGGAAATCATAAAATTCCACTGACCCAAATGTTAAATACAAGTTACTTCTGAAGTGAAGTCCTAAACATAAATGAGAATTTGTAACATTGAATATGAAAGTACGCTGGTTAAATACTGTACTCAGGAACTTCAGGCTGAGAATCTCAAGAAAAGAGAGATTACGATTATATTACTCTTACCGTTGTCAATAGCTTCAACCTCACGGTCTATTGCATCCCTGATCATTAATGGATGAATGAAAAACTGAGCCCATCTAAAGCAGAAAGAAAAATGGTAATATTTTCATTTTGCCTGCTGGAAAGAGAGAAACATTATTACTTCCAACTTACAAGAGATACTGGCAATGACACTAGCCTGAATAGAGAAAACCTTTACATCTGAAGGCTTAATCACACAGTACTCAATGCTCTGCAGCAACCTAAGTAAACCCACATTTAAAAGGAACAGACCACAAGAAGATTCTCAAAGTACTTCTTCACTAGGGAACTAAGAAATGTAATAAATTAATAATGGAAATAATTAACCCTAAGAAGATGTTCAGAAGAATTAACCTCTAAAAAGATGTTCAGAAGTTCCGACTTAAATCTGACCAAAACATGGAAATAGAAACACCTAATTCAGTTTCTTTACACAAATACACACTGCCATAATGTATTTTAATCTAAGTAATGATTTATTTAGTGTGACCACGTTACCTATCAAGTGCTGCTTTAAAATATTGCTGCCGGATGTCAAAGTAGAAAACCGTTCGCTCACAATCAGTTGAAGCATTTTCACTGCCACCATGTTTCTTCAGGAACGCATCAAACCCATTCTCATCTGGATACTTTGAACTCCCCAGAAATACCACTGAATGAAAGAAACAGGATTGGAAATTATGAGTAGTTCACAGCCCAGCCCTCCTTTGCTGTGTGCCTCACAGTTTGAACTTCTGTAAAAAGGGATTAAAACTCTTTAAAATCAAGTAAATTCTTATTTAGATGGTAGAATTTGATTCCTTTCATGGTAGTGAATAAAGTTACAAACTCTGGAAGACAATAATTATTTAGGAATACAAGAAATAAGATTTAAAATATTTTTTGTCTTATAAGCAGAACTCAAGTGTGTTTGTCTTCAGCTCATTTCCAGTATAACACTCAGGAAAAAAAAAAAATACTGACCCAAGCAGATATACATGCAAACACACAAATTAATATAATTCATCAAATCTAAAATTGAAGGAAGTATAAGAAACAAAGAATTACTAACTCAGTCCATTCAGTGAAAAATCAAGAAACCATCTACAGATCATCAAGACAGGAAGAACTCAGTCCTCTAAAATAAGCACAGAAAATCTGTGACAACACACTGTATCATTGCTCTGCAACCACCATTACCTGGATGAATGGCTAACTTCAAAAGATGGGCTGATGTCTTCACTTTTTTAATGACACCTGGCAGAACTCTGAAGATATCATTCGTCTTATTATCTGTCAATAACTTCTTATTACAGATAAGAGGCTGAAATTTACTCTGAGCACTTAAGGGTGTGTGACTAGCACAGGTTTCATACAAGGAAATTGTTAGAGATACTAGCAAGAAAGAAAGGTTTCAGAAGGACTTGATAGAGTAATTACCATAGCCTTAATATGCATTTGATTTAAAAGGGGAAAAAAAATAAAACTGTGAATGAACAGGATTAATTTTAACAAAACTATTTAGAGTTCACAAAACCTTCACATGATATTTAAGTATCATTACTCATCACAAATACAGAAACGTACACATTTCAGCAGAGTTGTATCTTACACATATGCTCATATTCTTTTTATTTTCATACATTGGAAAATTAAAGTTTATTTGACTATATAACCACTTTATTATTCACATCAGGCCACTATTTTTAGACACATCAAGCCACACCAGAATTAAAATTGGAGTTCAATTAAAAATTACACAAACATCTTGATTTGTAAAAACTATTAAGATTACATCAAAACTGATACAAAAGTCAAAATCAGTGTGAAAGCTCAAAACTGAAAAGAAAGCCTAGCATGAAAAATGATACATACTGTGTTCAAGAAAGTGTGCTAGCCCAGGCAAATCTTCAGGGTCACAAAAACTGCCAACAGTAACACAAAGGGCAGCAGCAGACTGGGAAGAAAACACATTGTACATTGTTGCAACAACTTGTAAGAAAAATGTTTAATTTTATCTGACAGGCAAATGATCAGACAGGGAAGTAACTGAAATTCATCCAGAAAAACAAACAAACAAACAAACAAACAGGGGGAAGGAGGGAAGATAAAAACATTGTTAATTTGTTGCCATGCTAGGGAAATCACTCAGCAAACAGTGAATCCAGGAACAGGAGCAGTATAGGCTCAAACTTGAGCAAGAAAGCTGGGCACTGAACTACTAAAGAAAAACAGTATGCTGACAAATAGGACTCTAGAATAGGTTACTGAGGTAGCTTTCCAAGCTGGGCAGGATTTGCAACTCCAAAACTGTTAAAATCTGTAACATAAATATATACCATTTTCTCTGTACTTTCATCATCCTCTTTCTTTCCTGTTGGTTCTGTCCATGCTTCTTCTACTGCTAACCCTTCTACTTCCATATCTGAATCACTGGGACTCTCCTCAGGTTTAACTTTCTCTTCATCCTTGTTATCAGAATTTTCTCTGTCATCTTCGCTGTCTGTTCCTGAGTCATTGTTATCAGAATTTTCTCTGTCATCTTCTCTGTCTGTTCCTGAGTCATTGTTATCATCAGTTTCAATCTCAGACTCTGCACTACTCTCTTCTTCTGCAAATTCTTCCTCCACATTGTTGATATCGGAAATAAGTAATGCATGCAAACCATTTTGTAGTTTGATATACCTGTGAAATCAATCACACAGGCAATGTAAGTTTTCCTTAAAACATCTAAATCATCAAAGAAGAGCTGAGTTCTACTTTATCTGTAATTGTTCTAGACTACTGAATCATATCCTCTTTCTAGAACAATGTCACCGAAGATCTGCTAAGAATGAAGAATAACTTGAAAGCAGAAAAACTTTTTTGTCAAATTGTTGGTTTTTGTTGTTAATTACATAATTACATTTCCAAACAACAAAAACAACATGTTACTGAGAGGAAAGAATCATTTATGTGAGTAAATTAGATAAAAATTAGATAACAACAGATAAAAAACAATAGATTACTCTGATTTAATTAACTGGGCAGCATAGTGAAAAAAATGTAGAATCTGTGAGGCAAATAAAATAAAATAAAATAAAATAAAATAAAATAAAATAAAATAAATAAATAAAATAAAATAAAATAAAATAAAATAAAATAAAATAAAATAAAATAAAATAGTCTAACTGAGGCAGAGAAGATGCTTGACTATTATTGCAGGGTGAATGGCACTAGGAGTCCATGATCACGTCAAGTGTGACCCTTGAATACTCTTTCTTCTCAATCTCATTTTTTTTCCCTCAGTCTTGGTGAGCCTACAGTGAATTATTCTTTATTTTGTGTGTGCTAGTGACTAGTGTCTGTAGGTCCAAGCAAATAGCAGTTAAACGAGAAAAGAGGCAAATTCTTTGCTGTTGTTTTAGCCCAGCAAAGTCCTAAAACGCGTCCCAACCTGGTACTTAATCCTCACAGAAGAGCACCTAGAGGTTACTACTTTACAGAAAACTACCGCACGGGCCGTCGCTGTGGTAAATTCTGCACCAAAACTGCCGTGTACCCTGGGGCTGAGCCCTGAGGTACCGCAGCGCCCGGCACAGGGGCCGGCGCCGAGCGACCGTTGGGGCGGCGGCGTGAGGGGAGCGCCCCTCACCTGTACCGCTTCGTGTCGCCGGGGGCCGTGGCGATGGCGGGGTCGCCACGGTTGGGCTCGGCTTTGGGGAGCATGGCGGCAGCGGGGCGAGGAGGAGGAGGAGGACGAGGAGGAGGAGGAAGAGGAGGAGGAGGAGAGGGGGGACCCTCAGGGCTGCAGGCGCCGGCCCTGCCGCAGGGGGGCGCAGCTGCCGCTCCGCCGGGCGCCCGCGGCCAATGGCGGCGCGGGGCGGGGGGTGAGGGGGACGCGGGCGCCATGACGCGCTCGGGCGGCGCCGGGGCCGCGCTGCGTGCCGGGAGCATGGCGAGCGACTTCTACCTGCGCTACTACGTGGGGCACAAGGGCAAGTTCGGCCACGAGTTCCTCGAGTTCGAGTTCAGGCCCGACGGTGAGGCGAGGGAGGGAAGGGGGGGACACCCCCGGGAGTGTCGGGGCTGTGGGGTAACGTGTGTGTCTTTCTCCCGGCAGGGAAACTGCGCTACGCCAACAACAGCAACTACAAGAACGATGTGATGATCAGGAAGGAGGTGAGGGGAAGGGACGGGTGAGGGGTGGGGTGGTATACAACGGGGTTTTCACGCTGGGTGTCGCCTCCAGGCCTACGTCCACAAGAGCGTGATGGAGGAGCTGAAGAGGATAATCGATGACAGCGAAATCACTAAAGAAGATGATGCTTTGTGGCCTCCTCCCGACAGGGTGGGCCGGCAGGTCGGTGTCTGCTCTCACTGCAGCTCCTGTTCTCATGTGTTATCTAACTGAGCTTTTCTGTCAGCATTCTTTCTAGCAAAGAGATAAATGAACGTTATTTTAAAACTTGGGCGCTGTCTAAATCACGGTCTCATTGTGAGAGTTAAGGATACACAAACATAATGTGTTCAGTATCCTTGTAATAAAAACGGAAAAGCCTTCATCTCACTGCTTAAATATTTCTGTAGCTAATAGCCCAATGTAGTAATTTGACATCAAAATATTTATTTCTGTAATCAATACTGCAATATACTAATTTGACATTGTAATCTTTTGCTTTGTAGGAGCTTGAAATAGTAATTGGTGATGAGCACATTTCCTTTACCACATCAAAAATTGGTTCACTCATCGATGTAAACCAATCTAAGTATGTATTCTGCTTTTTTACTGCCTTTTTTTTACATGTAGATATCTATGTTAGAACTTGCTAGTTATTAGGTATTTGTGTCACCCGGAACTGGCTTGTAGTTTGAAACAATATAAAGTACAAGTGCTGTGTGTTGCAGCATAATGAACCAAGTGTCAGTACTTGACATCACGCTTCCAAATTCAGCGAACAGCTAAGCTTACTGTGAGAATGCCTGTTAGACATTCAGACTCTGAACTGTCATTGGCCTGTGAATGTACTATGAAGACTTAAAACATTCTGCACTCCAGGTTTGTAAGTTTTGTCAGTGCCAGATGAAATGAGTCTGTTATGTCTAAGACTATCTCTAAAAAATATTGCTAAAATATGCTATAGTCTAAAGGCTGTTCTTTTAGAACTTGTCTTTTTTTTTTTTTTTTTTTTCCCTTCTTGTGCACTGCAGGGATCCAGAAGGCTTGAGAGTATTCTACTACCTGGTCCAGGACCTTAAGTGTCTAGTCTTCAGTCTTATTGGACTACATTTCAAGATTAAGCCAATTTAAATTAAACAAATTGAAGTTTGTATTACGGTGTCTGTAGGGGGGGGAGGGGGGGAGAGAGGGAGGGATGCTTTTTCAATTCCTTGCTTCTTCAGATCTGAAACTTTTATGTATGTTAGAATTTTTTTTACAAACTGTAAGTGACTGTCGTAATAAAATGGTGAGATCTGTATTTTTAATTTAAGTTTCGGTGATAAACTGACTTTCTAACCCTTTGGTGATAAACTGACTTCCTAACACTATCCTGCTATGTTCAGGATACGTTATTTCATTTGTATCACAAAGCTGTATTACATTTTTTTTTTATCTATGCAACAGCAGACAACAAATTTTTGTTACTATCCCAATTTGGAAATCAGGGAAGCCAGCTCACCTGTTCAAAAAAACTAAAGCAGATGATGACTGGCTATAGCAAAGACACAAACTATAATAAACTCCTGCTGTGAGTGCTGCCTGCCTTTAGAGCAAAAGTAGACAATAGACCGTGCAAGGTCCACCCAGGCACCAAGACTTCCATCCATGTTCCCTTAAAAGTTTAGACAAACTGAAATTAAAAGTGTGGAATGTATTTAGTTAAATTCTAGACTAGTACGCCCTTTGTGCAGAACTGCTTGACAGATTTAGAGGATCAAACATATGTCTCAACTTGAAAGTGGTAATTTTTGGAAAGCACTTTATGAAGCAGGTGGATGGCTTTCATTATAAATATGAACTTGAACTGCGTCTCTGGCAGTCTGACATCTGCTGGTGCCCACCTTATGGTGAGTAAGGGGAAACTGTCACGTTTATAACTTCCCAATTAAGCTTGAAGGCAGAAGAAAGTTGCTGCAAGATGAGAGCTTGGAAGCATGGTGAAACTTGTATAAAACTTCTAGCTGACATACATGAGGCGTGCTAACTTCAAGAGTGTTTCTTCTGGGTGATATTTCTGGTGTAATGGGCATCTTATCAAGATGTGATAAGGATTTACTTGCACCTTCATCTGTGACAGGGCAGCTCTAATTTAACTCTGGTCAAGCTTTTGCTCTGATAAATGAACTTAGAGACTTTTTCCAGCATAATATATGGAACGTTAGAGAAGTAGTTCTAGTTTAGTAATAGCTGATAATTCTTCAAGGGCTATTTATTGAAGCCTTACCTGAGGCATGAATTTAGTTCTGTGTCTGGCAATACTGTAAAGTATCTGGGTGCATCCTCTATAGCCAAAATCCACATTGCTTGATTTTTTTTGTCTTAAAAAAGTAGGAACTTTGAAGCAAAATCTGCATTCTGGTCAAAAAAGCTGAAGATGCCATTTCCTAAAAAAAAAAAATAAAAAAGTAGGGCGTGTATCTATGTTAATTATTAAAATTCATCTCACTCTTTCACTTCTCTACCAAGGATCTCCCTCACCTTTCCCTCAGGTGAGGCAGCTCCGGCCGCCCAAACCCCAGCAGGGCTCTGAGGGTGCTCCCCACACCGGCTCTGCCGAGCAGCGCCCTCCCTCACCCTCGCACCTCCTCCTGTTCTTCCTACATCAGACTGTGCCCAAATGTCTTGGAAAAAGCAAAACCACCTCACCCCACACCGTGCCCGCCCAGCCCCGCTGGCAGGGCCTCCTGGCGGCACCCGGCGCCTCCCCGGCCGCAGCCTCCCGCCTGCGGGGCGGTGACGGGCAACGCCGGCGAGCGCCATCTTAGCTGAGGGCAGCTTCGGCTTCAGCCCGGCAGAGATCACAGGGAGGCGGCCGCCAGCTTGACTGAGGGCACTGAGGGGAGGGTGAAAAAAAAAAAAAATCACTCAAAACACCCAAGAGCGGCTTTAAACCCGCAGCGGCTCCCGCGAGAGGCGGGACGCCGTGAGGGGCAGCTGTCGGCTGGCAGCGGGGGCTGCAGGGCGGCAAGTCCCGTGAGCGGCGGGGGGCTGCGGGGCACCCTCCGGGGCCATGGGGGTAGGTAGGGGCCGCAGCGGGGCCGGGCCGGGCCGGGCAGGGCCATACCGGGCTGACGGCCTCTGTCGCTGCCTCTCCCCTTGCAGAGGATCGGGCTGCAGCTCCGCGCCACGCTGGAGAACATCACCCGCCTGCGGGCCGAGGGCGAGGACTTCCGCTGGTACCTCAAGGTGCGGGGCGGCCTCGGGGGCTTCAGGGGCAGGGAAAAAAACTTTTGTCGCTAAATGCTGCGCAGCCAGCGAGCCTACACAGCGGGGCATCTGGCATTAAATGTCAGTTTCAGTGGGGTGAGCTTAAAAGTTGTGTTTTTTTTTTCCACACAGTGCACGCAGGCTGCTACAAGAGCAACAAACAAGGTGGTGTAGGTGTATAGATACACATTCATAACACATACATGATATTGTATATTAGTACAATTATTTAATAATAAAAAGCCTTAATTTGAAGCGTTAGGGCCTCTATCGTTGAGGTGGTTGCTAATCCTGATAACCACCTGCTGGTAACTGCAGTAAAGGCAGGATGTGCCACTTCCCACCTTGTGCTCAGTGACTGTGCGTTACACCACGGTTTGCACCCAGTGTGTGGAAGGACAGACCCCTGCTGTGGGCATACCTGTGAGGTTGATGCAGCCTGTGGGGCTGTGTGGTCGGCAGCAGCTGACACCCACCTCGGGTTCCTCTCAGCCGCCAAATGGGGGGCTTTGAGTCTTGAGGCTTCACACCAGCTTCTTCAGCTTCTGACTCCCTACTTACTGGCAGCTTTGCATTCTGGTTTTTGTTTTTCAGCTGAAATGTGGGAACTGTGGAGAAGTTTCTGAAAAATGGCAGTACCTGCGATTGATGGTACGTTTCCCTCTTACAACCTGCTTCAGAACAAAAATGAGGAAACAAACCTGCCTCTCACATGCAGTGGACATTAGTATTAGATGTGACAATCTGCATTTTAGAAAAAATAGTAAATAGTAGCTGTACACATCCAGGAAATGCTGTCATATTTCATATTCAAAAATAATTGGAGATTTAATTTAAATATGCTATTAGAATGGTGACAGTCTGCTTTGAAAAGCCTCCTTTCTGTAGAAATATCAATTGATAACATATTTTGAAGTGATATTAGAGTAAACCTGTGCCTGTAGAACATTTCTCTGATGCTGATGGAATGTTTATGGAGAAGTTTAGATTATTTAAGGGGAGTTAAGCATGTCAAATGAGCATTTGGAAACTGAAAAAGCAGAATAAAATTTGTCATGGATAGGAGAAGGTTTTGTTATTAGGAAGGAATAATCATCTTTGTTGTACACTAAATGTTAAGAATGCATTTTGAGTTAATCAAACATGCCTATTTATATGGACAGAACATAACTATCATTATTCAGGATTTTAAAGCTGGAACATAATTGTTCCTTGATAATCACAGCTTTCTGAATTACATGTCTCTTTAGTTTAAAAACACCTTCTCAGTGCAGTATTTTTTAAATGTTGAGACCATTTTTGTAAAAACAAAACAAAAAAAACCCACCTATTTCACCTTTGCCAAGGCTTCTAGTGGCTCAGCTAGAATGCGATTAAAAATGGTGTCTCCATTGTCATGGTTTGTAGGACAGCGCTCCCCTGAAAGGAGGCAGAGGAAGCGCCACTATGGTGCAGAAATGCAAGCTGTGCTCCAGGGAGAACTCCATTGGTATGTGCTTAGAAATTTAAGAAACATTCACTTTATATTTTTTCTCTAAGTTTGTTTTTTAGTCCGAATTTTTGCATGATAGGTGTGCTGTTTTTTTCCAAGTACGCTGACATTTGACCTCAAAGCAGGCACACACTTGCTGTCATGGTCATGAAGGCCATAGGAAGGTCAGCTGGTCATCAACAAAAAAAATGAAGTTAGGTCCACATGGTGGGATAGTAGGAACAATTTTGCAGCATATTGCTAAAACTAACAATAGCAAGTTATTTTCTGCTACTAACAGCAGTAATACAAGCTATTAAAATACTTGGTTCTCCAAATGCAATAGGCAAAATAATCTTAATCGATAATGTTAAATACTAGTGCTACTTTTGTTTTTCCTAAGAAGTGACAGGAGAGAGATGAAGCACTTCTTGTTCTTTATGAAAAAAAGGGGCAGAAACATTTATGGAGGTAGTATCTGTCCAGCCTTGGAATGTCCTAGGCAGGAGTGGGTTGGGAGGTTACAGGGATTATATCCCTAAATAAACCACATTTTCATTATCGGACAGGTATTTCCTACCCAGTACGTGCTTACTTCTGTGTGAAGACAAGCCTGTTTCCAGCCATTCAAGCTTGAGTGCAAATGCATTTTACCTGTTACGCAATAAGCTTTTTGCCTTTCAGTCTCACTGCAAAACGTCCTGTTCTTATGAGGAGCAGTAAAAAGAAAGGTGTATATACTTCACCTTCCCAAAGAAAATAATCCCACTGGATTCTAAGTCTTAGCCTCCTAGATAAATATTTTAAAATAAATATAAGGAATGATACCGAGACCTGCTGCTTATCACAAGTATAGACTTCTAATACCACATGTCAGTTTTTGTTAAGTAGGTCCTGAAATTAAAGTCTCTTTTTAGCTTGAAAACTGGTACTGTTTGCAAATGGCTGGATTACTATTCCTTCTTCCTTTTGAGATTCTACTTTGATTTAAAGAGATGCTAGCTACAGATGGTCAAGTAGGTTGGGCCCTCACATCTATTTTTTCCATTGCATTCTGTCCATTTCAACCTTCTCTAATTCGTTTTTTCTGTCTACTGGGATTGAAGTGCAGCATTATAAAGATACATAAGTACATATGATGATAGCATGAAAGGAAACATGTTAGAAAAATAATAGGATGTACTACACTACTAGTTAAAATTCACATGAAATGCACAAAACAGTTTTGAGAGTTACCTGCAGGCTCTTTGCTACTCTGTGCCCTATATACAATTTCTACAAAGGCAGCTTTGGGGGTGGAGCTAGGGATAGGTAGACAAAAAACTGTACAATAGTGACCTATGGTCTTGGTCTTGCAGTTGATGGGCTCTCAGACCTTCTGGGGAGCCTTGGGTTTCTGCATGAACAAAACTTGTACCCTTAACGTCATTTTACAAAAGCATACATTACAATTTCTTTTACTTTATGCCATTTTGATACCCTACCAATGCAAAATAAACTTCCCAGGAGAAGTGAGGAAAAAGTAAATTCTACTTTTTCATGGACAACTCTAAGAACTGTTTGGTTACTTTGTTTCTATTACTTTTTATAAGGAAATTTTTAAGAAGGGAGAAGAAGCTGGTACTTGGTTTGTGCACAACTCTGAAGACATAATGTCACTCACTGTTACACTTCTGGTATCTCTTCTTTATAGATATTTTAAGTCAGACGATCAAACCTTACAATGTAAGTTTGTTTTCTCTTTTATATATTAAGTGAAAGATAAATATTAATAGTATTTTGAGTTTTTGCTGTATCATTGCATTCCGCTTTTAAGAACACAGAAGGTAGAGATGTTCACCTGATATAAAATTGTCTGTTTTAGACTCCTGTACACAGTCTAAGAAAAAAAATATGCAGTTAACAGTAGCTTGGTAATTATTTACCCCTTCCTACTTAAGTGTCAAATATAGAATAATCCATGATGCGTTTCATAAGCAAAACACAAAACTGTACCACTCAAATCACAGACAATTACGTAGCGTCCATATTTGAAGGCTTCCTTGTGGCAGATTAAGAAATTGTAGTTAATTGCAAACTATTAAGCAAGCCCTAGGATTTTGCTGTCACTTGGAACATCAGAGTTGACAGTGCCGCAGTTTAAAAGCAGTTCATTACTAGACTAATACTTGTCACTGTCTTTCTCTGAAAACTTTTTTAGCTGAAAATTAATGGTATTCTGACTCAACTACAGGCTGAAGACAGTGAGAAGTTCAAGACAATAGTGGAGTTTGAATGCCGAGGTCTGGAACCAGTTGACTTTCAGCCACAGGTGAGTTCTTATTCATGATTTGTTTCTCAGTTTTAAGACCACTTACAGCCTCTAAAAAATACACTATCAGAAACACTGCTGCTCTTCCTGAAATGTCCTGACCTCCCCAGTTTTCCTTCCTCTCTGCAGTTCTTTTAGTTTATTCATCTCCAAAAAAAACCCCACAAACAGCTAACATGAACAACTGTGGAATTTTTTTGTACTTGGCTTCCAGTGACTAAAAAAAAAGTATCTAAATCTAAATTAAACTCCCGTTGGAGTGGTATTCAAATTGCCTTACAGGTAACTCATCACTGATCATCTGAACTGATCTGAAAGGTCTTCATTGCTCTGGGAGCAGTTACAAAAGGGAGTCTTTCCAAATGTGCATCACAGGAGTGCACAGTTAGCTAGTCACTTTCAGGAGAGCTCCTCTTTGGTTATTGGTATGTTACAAAGAGTAAACAAAGTTCCAGTTATGAACAGTTTTCAGTATATGGCCTCTAAATAAATTTTATTTGAGATTTGAAAGTCACCAAACCTGTAGTTGAGTATCAAGTATTGGCATTTTTCTATTGGAAACTTGTTCATACCAAAACTGAAGATGGCAGTTGAAGGCTGTTGCAAAGCACATCTCAGGGTTTACAGTTAAAGGAGATCTTTGTGGCCAAACCAGTCCTCAGTGATTCACTTGCTTGTGCATGGTCATGCTGTATGCAAGCTAACTCCCTGCTATATTTAACCTATTATTCCGGTCGGATTAGGTGTAAATAGACTGACAAATATAAACCTCTTTTATCCTTCCCTCAGACTGTAACACTATCCTAACAAACAGAACAAAAAAGCTGATAGTACAGGGGGATTAGGTATAAATGAAATCATCACTTGCATTGTGCTGCAGGAGGAGGTCTTCATTTTCCATTTTTTGCTTGTTTGTTTCCCTTTGAGGAACAGAAAGGTTCTTAGCTTATCTCTTTTTGAAAGCTTTGCAGCCAGACCTAGGAACTTGCACTTCGAGTAAAATCTACGGAAAGTCTACAGATGCAGGAGATGCTTACAGATCTGTCAATTTGCTTTTACCTGCGGAACAAAGACTTCACAGCTGTAATAAAGCTTTTAAAGTAATATTCTCAAAGTTTGGTCTGTGCACTCTGCTAGAGAGTACACTTAAATCGCTGAGCAGGTAAACAGGCTCTGCAGTTCCTTACAGTTTTATAAACTGCTTTGTATTTGGCATGATCCAAGCCAGCCTCGCTTCTCTGGAGTCCTAGGACTGGCTCTTGACTAGCACTAAACAGGACTGGCCATAGCATTTGTATATATATACACACATATATATGTGAATAGTAATACAACCACATGTGAAGTCAATTTAGACTGCCTTAATACTTGTGTTTCTTATTCAAACTAGGTAGTAGTTTTCCTAAAAATATAAAATGAGTCTAAAGAGAGAGTATCCTTTGATTCTCTGACTTGAAACCTCTTCTTCTATCTACTTTGAACAACATATTCAAACAAGGTACTTCTAATAATGGGCAAGGACATTTTTTTTTTACAGTTCCTTATCTTTCTTTTTAACATGCTTACATAGATACATCTACTGTGAATCTGATACATAATTATTGGTTTTACTTAAGGATAGTTTAGCTACTTTCCTCTTCCTGTCCCTCAGTTGAATGCTTCAACTAAAAATATAAGTTTTATAAAATTTCTCTTATATCTTTTCAGCTTCTTTGCTTTGTGCCAAAAATAATAGTTATATTGCTTAAAAAGAAAAAAAAAAGAAAAAGTGACAGTACCTTGTGTTTTAAAGTCAACAGAGCGATTTTTGCTTCTTCAGTGTTGACGCTCTAACTGCTGGTCCTTCGCCAGTCAGCAGGGGGCAGACGAGTCACTGCATTTCTCAGGTCCCTTCAGCAAAGATTAAATGGGTCTGCCCTGACACCAAAGCTGTAAGAATGCAAGTCCCCCTGAGGGTGTCCGGTACGGGAGCCTGTAATTCCAGTCACATGGCTTCTTGCTCCTTGGAGTGCTGGTGGATATCTTCAGGTAGAAAAAGCTGGGTTTCTTTTACTTTCCTAGTCTTTGTTCTGTACTGCTGCTCTGCATTTTTGTCCCTTGCTGCTGATCTTCCTCCTAACCCATAGCAATTCCCTTGAGATGGGCTTCTGATAATTATATAAAGGATGTATTCACACCGCACATTGCAGATAGCTCTCCTTTTGTCATGTCTGCTACACTCTGTAGTCTGCTTAACTCCCAAATGCTTAACCTTCCACTCAAATCCCCAAATATTTTACAATATTGTGGTTTATTTCACATGTTCCTACACAGTTATATGTCTGGGGATTTCTTTATCAAAAATGCTCATGCAGATCCCCTGCAGAAAACCTTTGCTTTTTGTCAGTTCACAGTCACTTCTGCAGTTAGAAATGGCAGTATACGACACCTTCCTGTATGCTACCGAGATGGTTAAGACTTTTAAATTTACTTTTAAAACTAGTAGAACTTAATTTACAGCTTGATTACTGTAAGCCCTAAAATAACAGATGGTTTACAGAAAATCAGAAAAAATACCTTCCATGTGTTATATACATCATTGATATGCTTGCTTACTTCCTCGTGCTAGTGCTATCTTTTCTTTCACTTCTTTAAAAACAGAAACAGTAGCAACAGTGATGAACTTTCCCCTTTAAAAGACTATTTGGGTATCTTGATCTGTTCAGTCAGCTAACTGATCCTCCTTTCACTCAGGGCTTGCTAATCACTTGAGTACCTAAATGCACTACAGGCCACTTCCTTTTCTGGAGTGGCTTGGATTCTGATGATGTTTAAGCCAAAACTATTAACTTTTCCATATGTTCTTTCTATTGTTTTCTTGCAGTGAGTTTATCACAAAGCTATTCCACACATCATGCCTGTACAGATTCTGAACACAAATTAAAGTTATTAGTACTTGGATGCTGCTAGATGAATGTAAAAACTCAAGGTTAAGAATATTTATAACTCTTACAAGTACCTTTTTTGGGAGGAAAAATAGAAGAGCAGTCTTGTCTTAATTTTATATTGTGGTTGCTTAGGTCAAAATTGCCCACTTCACAAACAGGATCACAACTTTATACTGACCCTTGAAACAGCCTGGCTATTCTTCCTACCTAATCTAGAAGAAATAAAATAAAAACATGCTGTTACTTTCTTTAAACGTTTCAATGATTATATTTATTTTCTTGCTACAGCTTTTTCTTACAAACTTATTCCCATTTGTTTGTGTTTGCAGGCAGGGTTTGCTGCTGAAGGTGCAGAGTCTGGTACACCTTTTAATGACATAAACTTGTTAGAAAAGGTACGTTGTCTTAGTTTCATTAGTGAGTCTAATTATCTAGCGTTCTTTCCTTAAGACAGTAGTCCAAAATACAGAACTTACACATACAAGAGGCTAGTTTTGTGCTTTCATATAGGTATGGGAAGGTTGTAACCAGACAGAGAAGCTACAACAACTGTGAATAACCAGCATGACTAACAGCTTCATTTTAGAAGTACATATTTTAAATCTCAAGAGCTGACAAAGGTATAAATACAACTTATAAGTCATCAAAAATGTCAAAGAGCAAACACCCGCAATACTAAGTGGCTGGGGTGATTCAGAGTGGTGAACTGATTTCTCTACAATATCTGTACTTTTTCCTCTGCACAGAGATCTTAAAAAGTAAGATAAAGACACTCCTTCAAAGCGCAGGATAATGACTCCAGCATTGCAAATCTTCCTTGACTGTGAGCAAGAATCTCAAGGTCAAATCTGTTCCCCTGTATCCTACTTGGCAGGGATCTGCTTGTCTGCTGAGCCACGTGACTAGGGCATTGTAAATGATAGATAATCCTTTCATCTGCCATGGTTGCCATTTTGTCCACTACAGGCTGTGGACTACATTTAAAAAAAAAAAAAAGTTTAAAATAAAAACTGATACTGAATTTCATTTAATTTCAGGGCAGTGCTCTTGCTTCTCTCAGAAATTAGAATGTAGGTAACATTTCTGCAGGAAGTACTGTGTAATCTTTAGGACCCAAACTCTGAGTAAGGCTTAGTTTCAGTTTGAATTCCATTCAGATTTAGACACTATTGCCATCTATCGTCTGTGACTAATACTATGAAATCTTAATTCCTACAGGATTGGAATGACTATGATGAAAAAACAAAGGAATCTGTTGGAATCTATGAAGTTACCCATAAATTTGTGAAATGCTAACGTTCATTCCACTCGTAAACCTTGGTATGCTTATTGATGAGGGAGCTGTAACCATCAGAGACAGTTTCCTTGGAGTTACTTTTCACACGGCTGTACTTCGGAAATATAAACTTCAGTAAGTGACTGTCCTCAGAACATCTAATAAAAGATTTTTCACAGAGCACTTTGAGATGGTCTTAGTATAGACTGAAAGTTGCATGTATGCTCAAGTGAACTTGGCCATTTTCGTAATGTTGTTGGTTTTGGTAAAATTTATGCTTGACGTGGGCTGTAGCTTAACTAGCGCATCAACTATTTAGGCAACTCACTGCCTCGAAGTTTTAAATAGTATCACTGAGAAGTATACACATTTGATTCTTTAACGTAAGCAAATAAGGTATTTTCACCCACCATTCCTAGCATCAGGAGGTGGATAAGAGCATTTGTAAAGAGATGGTACTAACTGTTCAAGCAAAAAGCTAGATCTTTATTTGAACTGGCAGCTCTTAAAGACAATGAAGTGAATTTACTGAGAATACTGAGTTTGACTTACACTGACGCTTATGCCTAGCTGTTACACCTTCTGAAAATCAAATTATCTTTCTGTAGATCAACTTTACTCATTTCAAATTGCAGACAGACTTCCTACTTCTGGAAAGTGCTCTCGCTATCTTGCTAATAGTTCTCATGTTCAAAAAAACACCAACTTCCTCTAAGAAACTTCATTCAAAGACTTTTGCTCTGATTAAATTAGTTCCTTCACCCCCCAAAATGATCACCTTCCCTTCTTCATATAAATTGCAAGGATAATCATGGTAAGTCTGAGTTACGAGCACTATGAGGAACCTGTCTGTGGCAGTTTGATCTTGAATTCATGGTGTGACTGCTTTATAGCGATGTGTTATGCTCAAGCTTTCCTTGAACCCTTCAGCATGTTTGGCGAAGCCTTAGTCTTTAGAATTTCTACAACAAACCCTGATGCATTAAAGATGCATCTCTAAGCACTAAAACTCTGATATTTGGTACAATAAATGACATCAAGAATTGCAGCCAAAGGCAAGTACAAAAGTAAGGAAAAAAATGAGAAAAATATTCTGTTAAGGTCACTACAGCAGGAGGAATATTGGAAAGAGAATTCCAATGATAAAGTTCAGTGACTTTTTGAAGGCACAGGAGCACGTGTACACAGCAGAACAAAAGCAGCAGATTATTGGACAAACTTCACATATGGAAGGTGAAAGACAACACTGCAGCAGGCTTTGAAAAGTATTCTTTCTAACTTTTACAAGAAACATGAGATACTGATAGACTACCCACACTGTATAATTTTGATACCAGTAATAAAATAACTTTGTGGTTATTATTATATAGCTTTATTGCATCACAATTGTCTTTTCGTCAATTTAACAGCACAGTTGGTGACTGCAGGTTAGTTAAAGCCTTGTACTTCATTTTTTGTTTCTCAAAAAGCTGTTATATTGGAAAGGCTTCAAACCATTGAGGTACAATCAGTTCTGATGTTGATTCAAGTTTAAAGAGAAAAGTAGGTGTGACAAGTTAGTAAGCAAGCTTACTGCAAGAGTGCAAACATAATCACTCTTTCATATTTAAAACTATTGCATATATTATTTTAAAACCAAACAGTTTAAGGGTGGTTTCACAGTGCTGCTGTCTGCCTGAACACTCATAGAACAAAGATGTTAGAGGTCACAAATTTGGTAACGATGCTTTTTATTTTAAATGTATTTTAAGAGCACGTGGATCTGTTTTAACAGTTCTGTTACTTCATTTTTCAACATCATGAATGCTTGTATTTCCTGAAATAATGCATTCAAGGTCTGCACTTGATTTCTTTAAAATAGATAAAAATTTCAAATTGAATCTACACAGTATTCAAATTCAAGGAAGCTAATTGAAGCCAACTTAGCTCATCAGTTTCAGCCACGTTGAACACTGATTAGTAGGTACTGCCAATTAGACAAGGTCTGTATTCTCCATCACAACTGTAAGTCTTCCACCCCTTTTGTCTAACTACCTACCTTCTTGCCCTTTAAAACACTGAAGATATTTTCCAGTGACTTGTGTATGCACTGAAGGAATTCTTTACCATTCCTAGTTGGGTAAGATGAAACATTGCAACCTATCCAATCATCATGTACTTGATATCCTACTCCATAGCCATCAGGCACCACTGGGCCAAATCCTCCTAACTGCACAGCTGGGCTAACTAATGTGCTTGTAGAAATGATGTTGTAATTAAGTCGAGCATAGGCTTGGTCTTGATAGAAATCAGGCAATGCAATACCTTTGGACTGGGCTAAATAGCGCAACCCAAAGAGATGTCGGTCAAATCCCTGACCTGTTAAAATAAAATAATGAGTATTAGAGATATGACTAATTTTTGTAGGAAGTAAACTCACTTTTTAGATAACACCTTACTTTTAAGCCACAAAAGAAGAGGTCTGAAGAACTAAGGGTTTTTTTGTATTAGCAAGAAACACTTTCCAGAACCTAGAAATTTTTCTGCACTTTTAATGCACCTGTGCTGAGGAATGAGGGCTTGCTGTTGTACTGCTAGCCTCAGCCAGGAATCATGATAGTAAATAAAACAACGTTAACAGACAATTTTAATAATGCATCACATTCTTTATCTGAACATTTCCTTTTTTTTTCAAAAGAGAAAGGCTTTCCTAAAATTTGTGAATCTAAAGAAGATCTTGCATCAACAGGAGGCACATTTTAGACTCTGTGGGGTAATGTTCAATAAAGTCTCACTGACTTCACTGAAACAGTACAGCAAGTTATGCTTCTGGGAAGGTCGATTCGAAATAAAGCATTTAGAAAAATACCAGGAGTAGCACAGCCAAAGAATCATTTTGCTTTGGAAGTTGTTAAAGCCTTTATACCCCTGCAGGGATTAGGCAGCAACTCTTCAGTCATAAAGCCAAAGTTCTTAGTTGCCTTGGAGAGTATAGCATATACTAAGTATTAGTGCTTCAAACAGTCCAGCTGCTTTAAGGACAAAACTACAGTAAGAAAGAAATCTAGACATGTTAACAGGGAACTAGAAGCACAGAGGCATCTCCCCCTAATCAAGAAATGAGGGTCATGGAACACATTTTAAACTGCAGCTTTCTGTCACAGTTAAGTTTGCATTAACATCAGACCTACATCGAAATTTAATTATTTACTTGTGAAGTAAAACTTTGATAGCAACTTCAACAAACATTTTAGTGCAAAAAGAAAAGTGATGCATTCCTACTCACCCATAGCAGCTTCTTTTGTCAAACGGCCATGGTATTTGGAGCACTCCACAATCAACTTCTGAAGCTCTTCTGTGCTATGTTTTGACAGTTCCCTGACAAAAGCCTCCGAACATTTCTTTGTATGAATAGAGGCAGGACGGATAGTTTCTGTGCGACCATGTTTGAAAGCTGCAGTACTACAAGATTCATACGTAGCAACCGTCTGATTGTATTGTCGAAGGAAAGCCATCTGGAAGGCAAGCTGAACCACAGCATCTGGGCTCACCTTCTTCTGTTTTAGAAGTTCCTTGCCCCCTTCATGGAACTGAATCATATCAATAGACAGTGATTCTACACTGGCATCAAACTTCTGCTTTGCTTTGGTAATTCCTGCTTTTAAGGCATCATTCAGCTTAAAGTCAAGTTTCTGCACTGCTCTGGAAGAGTCTACGGAAGCAGGCTGCGACTGAGGGCTGACAGCTGGTACTTTGGTACTGTCTTTAAAGACTTCGTTCTGGAATCTGAGCACAGCCACACCATCACCCCAGGAATGTTCAAAATTAATTCCTGCAGTGCCATCTTTAGCTATGATAAGATTAAAGGATTTGTCATACCAGCGGTTAGCACCATCTCCATGCAACATAGTATGGGACAAGTGCACAAAGTCTTTAATGGGAAAATCATCTAAACTTAGACAAAACAGAGCAGTGTCTACTTTTTGAAGAGCTTCCTCATTGCCGCTATCCAGTAGATTCTTTCTCAGCAATGCCCAAGTATCTCGGTTTTCACTGGTGAGGTAGCCAAGTGGGAAGTCCGGGGCTGGACTGTTGTCACTGAGGATGTATTTCAAGTGTGCTTGTATTTCTGAAGGTTTCACCATATTTCCATCTCTATCAATAACATCAAATACATAAAAATTCCCTTTTCTCATTACCAGCAAGTGTTTTGCCTTTTCATCTGTCAAAAGCTCATCTCTGTTGAGTTTAGGCAACCGTGTAGAATTGAAAAGCCTGAAGTACTGAGACATATCTAGGGGGTATGCATTGACCATGTAGGCACCAAACCAAGAAAGTGAGGAAGGCACAAATCGGATAATTTTCTTAAAGATCTCAGTGTCACTTTTTTCTGGATTGAGATGAAAAACCTCAGGTTCAAGATAACCAGCCCTGAAGGTCTTCATAAAACGTACAGCAGAAACAGTCATATTCGTAGCTCGTATGAGTTGATCATTATACTCAGATTTTGGGTCAGGATTAAAAGACATAAATGCATTAAAATTCAGAACAACAGGGTCACGTGATTTTAGGTACATATCAAACCAGGGACCTGGAAACAAGAGAATTGAGAAACAGGTCAGAACATAAAAGCAGTGTACTGAATCAGACCAGAGGTTCATGTAATCAATATCCCGCCTCAAACAGTAATCGTTAATACCTATCAAAGTGCAAATAAACTAGAAAAAAATGCAGTAATTCCCTCAAGGACTCTCCCAATCTCCAATTACTAAGAGAGGTACTGCTGGCTAATTGTAAAAATACTGTATTTGGAGCAATCCATATGAAGATTCTCAGTGTCACCAGCACTGAGGGAAAATTTCCATGTTTTCTGTATATCTCAGTGATAAACCATAACTCTTGTGGTATGCAATGCAGCTCCCTGGCACTGATTTCATTGAACACCTCACATTTAGACTACAACACACCTTTAAGTACACTTAAACTACAAATTTATTCAATTCTCTATCACTGAGGGCATGCTTCTCTTTATAATCTTATCTTGAGCATAGAGAAGCCTTGCAGAGAGATCTTGACGAATTAGTGAACTGTGCAACCACCAAAAATATCAAGTTTAACAAGAGCAAGTGCTGGATTCTGCACCTGGGAAGGGGCAACTCTGGATATACATACAGACTGGGAGACAAGAGGCTGAGGAACAGCCCCACAGAAGTGGATCTGGGGATTTTGGTCAACGGCAAGCTGAATATGAGCCAACAGTGTGCCCTGGCTGCCAAAAGGCCAGGCGTGTCTTAGGGTGCATCAGGCACACCACTGCCAGCTGGTCAACAGAAGGGGCTGTACCGCTCTGCTCTACACTGGTGCAGCCTCACCTTGAGTACTGTGTGCAGTTTTGGGTGCCACAGTATAAAAAGGGCATAAAACTATTAGAGAGCATCCAAAGGAAAGCTACAAAGATGGTGAAGGGTCTGGAGGGGAAGACATTGAGTAGTGGCTGAGGTCCCTTGGTTTGTTCAGCAGAGCAGGCTGAAGGGAGGCCTCATGGTGGCCTGTAGCTCCCTCATGAGGGAGCTCTGCTCTCTGGGGAGAGCGACAGGACCCAAGGGAATGGCATGGAGCTGGGATAGGGGAGGGTCAGGCTCGGTTTCAGGAAAAGGTTCTTGACCAAGAGGGTGGTCGGGTACTGGGACATGTTCCCCAGGGCAGTGGTCACAGCACCAAGCCTGACAAAGTTCAAGAAGCATTTGGACAATGATCTCAGACATAGGGTCTGTTTTTTGGGTGGTCCTGTGTGGAATCAGAAGTTAGACTTGATGATCCTTGTGGGTCCCTTCCAACTCAGGATATTCTGTGATTCTGCAATTATTTCTGAGGCAGAGTTTCCCTTATTGTTTGTCCTCATTCCTACTCCTCTCTTCCTGGCAGCATTCCTCCATCCACATTTGCTGTCACGTATTTTCACCTTTTTCCTCCTCCTATCCACTAAAGCAATCAGCACTGAACAGCACTCTTGATATCGATGCATTACAATTGGGTTCTTAAGCTGGCAATATGATGAGGTTCAGCCTGGAAAAGAGGAGGCTGAGGGGAGACCTCATCGTGACCTACAGCTTCCTCACGAGGGGCAGTGGAGGGGAAGGCACTGATCTATTCTCTTTAGTGACCAGTGATAGGACACCTGGGAATGGTGTCAAGCTGCAGCTGGGGAGGTTTAGGCTAGACATCAGGAAGAGGTTCTTCACCAAGAGGGCTGTTGGGCACTGGAACAGGCTCCCCGGGGAAGCAGTCACTGCACCAAGCTTGTCACAGTTTAAGAAGCGTTTGGACTGTGCTCTTAGTCACATGGTCTGAATTTTTGGGTAGACCTGTGTGGTGCCAGGAGATGGACTTGATGATCCTTATGGGTCCCTTCCAACTCAGGATATTCTAGGTTAGAAGGGACCTCAAGGTTATTATTCCAGACTGAGAACAGACTTCAGAAAGAAGAATAACATCTGACACCTACAGGTTTTTTACAGTCTCATTTCATCACATGGTATGTCAGCATAGCAAGAAGTACGAATGTGACACAAACGTTTTGTCTGTGCTGTAATGAAGGGAGGCCATCATAGCTCTAAAATGCGATCACACCTCCACATATGCTTATGAGTAAAACAAAAATCCAGGAGGCATAGCCATAGGCAGCAAAAGATTGTTTTGTGTTTGTTTTTTTCTTCTTAAGTAGCATCTATTTCATCATTGTTAACAACACTGAACTCGTTAAGGTTTGGTATTACAAGTTGTATGGAAGCAGACACCAGAAACAAGTGGACACCAAGTTCATCTCAAGGCAGCTGACGAATGAAAGATTATTATTTCAAGCCTGGATCATTCCCAAGTATAAATTTCTAGCTGAGTTCTAAGAAGGCCAACAGGTAACTCATGGATCTGTCATAATTTTAATTCTAGATGAGTGTAACTGGCACTCATTATGATTTTAAAAACACATTCCACATCATTATGTAGCCTTTTAACCTTGGACTTGAAAGTCCAGCATGGATGCAACTATACATATTTTCAGAAAACAATTTAAAGTAGAACAGGTCTTCTATGAGGCCTAAAAATAATAACTAAACACAGAGGAAAACGAACACCCTGTATTTCATTGACACAAAGCAGAAGCATGCTGGTTAGCCTAGACAAACACCATACAGTCAGCACCAGTTAAAACCCAGATACTGTACAAAGTGAATAGAACGCATAAACTAATAAACTGACTAGCAGCTTATGTGAAATAATCTGGTATTCTCTACAGAGTTTGTGGTAGCTGTGCAACTTGTTAAGCTAACACCCTTATGGGCACTCTCAATAAACAGTGAGGGCAGAATTGCATTCGCTAGACAACATGTAAGCTTCAACTTCCTTAAGTAATTGAGTATTTCCACCTCTGTTGCTATCCATCCAATAATTTCATAAGAAGGCACTTGTATTTGGATGCCAGTGGAAGCAACAAGGAAGAAGAACAACCTAAAAACTCCATGCATACTCTCCCTCTCTTAATTTGTTTCCCTTATTCTCATCTTCCTCTTTCTGTATATCTCTTTTTCTTTTGCTCTTTAAAAAAGTATTTTATTTTTTTTTGGGGGGGGTTGTTTCAAGTCCAGAGCACTGATTATTTCTGCCTTCCAAACCTTAGTCATATTTTCTGAACTCCCTCAAGGTTCAGTTTTATTGCTAAGTAACTTGGAATTATTTGGAAATGATTGCTTTACTTTCCTTAGGGGAGCTACTGGTTAAGCTCCTCTATTAACCTACAGTAAATAGATAGCAATTAATACAATACAAAATAAAAACCATAAACTCAAATTTACACAAAGCAACTCATGAAAAACTGATCTTTAATATCTATCCACCTCTTGTATCAGCATAATGAGAGAATTTTCCCAGGAAACTATCACTACAGAATACTCCTACAAAGTTGCCCATCCTACATTTTAAGATCTACCCTACGAAAGGATACCTAACTTTTTGCCGTGATCTATTTCCCATCTATTTCCCCTTTTATGATGGCAGTATAGAATGCAGAATGTTCCATTAGAAAAGACCAAAATAAAAATAAGACAGTATGTCACAGAGAAATCTTGTTTTCAGCGAAGCTGAATTATTTTTCAGAAAAATAATTTCATCTGCATAATTAACTTGAAATAAAATATTATCTTTCTGGTTGACCTCTTCCTTCCACAGTTGTTTTTTTTTTGTTTTAACTCCAATAGCATCACTGTTCTTTCCCATCCCTTTTGATTATATTTTACTAGTGACTTTGGTATTTTCTACTCTAAAAGGGTATTTTTGCTTTTCTAAAAGGGAAAAATGTTTTGTGGGACTATAATTCTTGTTAAGTACTATATCCTGCAGAATTCTGGCATATTCAAGCTACATGAAGGACCTTCTTCATTCCACCAGAGACTCAGAATTTGCTCAAATATTGTCACAGGTAGAATACACCAGGTGTTATTCCAAGTTTATGGAACAGAGAACTTAAGCTTCAGCCTGTTTTATTTGCAGCATTATGACCTACGTATTATCAAGTACAATGATCTAAGGGCTCCTTCAATATCCAGTTGGTCAACATACCTGTGATGTAACTAGTATGCTTGTTCTGTTTGTCTTGAGCAACTAATTGCTCATGCAGCTCTCTTCCAATCCCCTTTTCAAACTGATGAGCAAGTTCTTCAGTTTTCCTACAGCAATCAATAAAAGATTTGAAATTCTGTCATAATTTATATTTTTGATATGAAACCGTGGCTTTGAAGCAACAAATGGTAATGCAGTATGTGTATCTTGTTTGTCCGTACCTGAACTGGTCATCGTTTAAAAGAGGTTTCTGTGCATTCAGGTATCTCTTAATTGTATCTTCTAGCTTGGGAACCGGCAGTCTGAAGGAAGGGGAACAAAAAGAGACACACACTTCATGAGCAACAGCACCGATGAAGACTCAGTTTCTTACGCTGTAGTCTTTTCCATCTTCTTTCTTCCTTATCCTCCATACTATCTAAATAGTTTAAAAGTTTCTTAAGTAAGAGGAAGAAAGGGAATATATGGACATACATCCTCACAGCATAAGCTGCTTGTGAGAAGGACAATGAGGAAAACAAGGTAAAAAAAAAAACTTGACTGTCCTGTTATAAAGTTATTGCAGTGAAGGGTGTTAGTACCTCGTAAGCAGCACAGGGTCACAAGGTGCACCAAGGGGAAGCCTCTGTTCAGGAGCACGGTGCAGCTCGGTGGCCACCTCCTGTACCGGACTACCACTCGCTGCTGGGTGCTGAACATTTCCTTACAGATTTCCTACTCGGTACCTTTCTAAGCCTCCTCTAACTATAAAGTAACTCCATTACACGTACACGAGTTACTTTCCAATCTCAACTTTCGACAGTGGCTTGACGGTTGTATCTGTGCTTTAAAGAACAAAACCATCCTTCTCCACGGAGTTTCAGGAAGAGAACACAGAACACCAGAGCCAGCCAGAGCAAGCCGCCTTCCTTTCGTGCCCTTTCCTTCCCTTCCTTTCCCTTCCCTCCCGTGCCCTCTCCTCCCAGCAGACACCCCAGGGCTGCGGCCCTGCGGCGCCCGACCTCTGCCCGCGTCCCCGCCGAGCCCGGCGGTACCTGGGCAGGCTCTTCTGGTAGTGCATGGTGGGCACGATGCTGCGGTGCAGGTACTCGGCAGCGCCCGCGCTGCTGTAGCCCCGCCGCAGCAGCAGCAGCTGCCGCGCCGCCATGACGCCCGCCTCGCCCGCCCCAGCCCCGCTCTGCGGCCCAGCGGCGGCGGCGCCTCCACAGCTCCGGCCCCAACGGCTCCGCCCCCGCAGCTCCGCCCCGGCCGAGGAGCTCTCGGCCCGCCCGCGGGGGGCAAATGGCGGCCGGGGCGCCGGAGGGAGGAGGGGGTCTTGCCACGTTCCTCCGTTGGGGAAGCGTGCTGTCACGGTAACAAAATCACCTCAGTTTTAGGAAGTGCCTGCACTGAGCTTGCAGTGTCAGTTCAGTGCTTTCTTACCACATGTATTAATAAAAAATTATGGGATTCTCCTGACACTTATGATCACCTAATGTGATCACAGTACTATGTGATTCTCCTGACAGCAGCACTCTTGTCATATTGATCCTACAGTATTCAGATCCTGCTTGCAGACCATGGTCTGGTCTCATGAGTTTTTGACTCACACATGAGCATGTAGCTACAAGTACTGCATTGCGATCTAAAATAAAACAGTAAATACCCACATTTGTTCTCCTGTATGGAATATTTTCCATAAAAACACTGAATAATCTTAGGATAACCCACACACTACAGTAGAGTTTCAGTAAGTGCAGCATGGTAAATGGTTACAGTAGTGTAATTATATCAGATACTAGCATAAAAATCAGTGTTGGGCTGAATGCAGACATGACAAAGGAAAGGAAAGCAATCCCTGTGGCTTAGTCTGGTAATCCTCTGAAAGTAAATTGGCCCTACTCTAATCAACATAGTGGCAGGAGAAAAAGTGAAATCATTTTGCTTCCAAGATAATAAATGCCAAATGCCAGAAGGTCTCTTTTCGTGTTTCAGTATATCAGTCTTTTCTGATCAATATGTGGCTCTTAGGCTACACATTCAGTCTTTTCTTGGTCTCAAAAACAAAATATCCAAGCCTGCTTTAGTTAACGAAGTTCAGTTTTACCTGGTTTGCCCTGTTGTGATAGTCCAGTTCACAATGTTACCTGCTCTGTCCTGCACAGGAAAATGGTGCAGTAACATTACCTGTATGCATTTGTATGCATGAATTACATTGATCCCCAAATCCCAAACCAGGAAGACCACATAATGTACTCAAACACAGCCTTCCTTCCAAGAGCATTGCTTTGTTTTGAACCAGTCTTGTTTTAGAAATACTACTGCATTCTGTTCTAATTTTCCAGAGCCCCCTAATCTTCTTCCAGGCTCTTAATGATGTAGTCGATAATAGGATTATTGGTATTAATTTGGAACAATAATGCCAGCTGTTTGCTTGGTGGCGATTGGCAGAGGGGTGACCTTGCAGGTCAGCTAAGCAGAACTGGAAATGCTTTGATCTGATCTATACAGAGCTAGGTCTGTCCACTCCTACAAGAGGAGTGAGTGAATTCTCTCTCCGTGGGATGCTGATTCTTCTCCAAATTGCACGGAGGACAGCATGGCAGTGGCTTTTGATGCAATCCTCGCTCGGGTCAAGGATGTTTGTAAAAGAAATGGTTTACTCATTCTCTCAGTGCTGTCGGTCACCGTGGGCTGTCTTCTCGGATTCTTCCTTAGGACGAGACGTCTCTCCCAGCAGGTATGTGTGGCATGGCTGAGTGTATCACTGCAGAGAAAATATCGTACTTAAGTAACAAAAGACATAGCAACTGAGGAACTTCAGAATGGACTTTCTGAGATAAAAAGCATGTATGTGTATTTGTTAAATTTGTTAAATTTGTTTTATTTGTTGATCTACACACTGCTCTTTGGGTCTTTTCACACATTCTCAAACGTGTATTGCAAAGTGTTCTGGTCTTTAAGATAGCTAGTAAATATGACATAACTACATTGCAATGTTGTGAGAATAGATAATAAATTGAATGAATGTTAAAACAGTATCGTATGTTTGTTGGATTTTATATTACCTTGGAACATGTATGTCTAAAGAAAACATTGTCAATAATTTTCACCATCAGATGTATGGCGGTACAAGTGTTTATAGTATACCAATAGTATTTTATATTAATAAATTTAAGATCTCCCATCATTAACAGACCATGTTATTGGAATCACTTGGGGATTTCTCCTCCTGTGTACTTAAACTAAGCTTTTTTATTTTGTGACTACTCATTTCTTACTACTGTATTGGTCTATCAGTGTACACAGGGCAACATACATTGCTGAATGCATTGTTTGAGCATACAATATAAAAAATGTATAATATAAAAAGTTAAAAATTATGGCACTTAGTAAACACAAGAGCTAAAATAATTCTATGTTCTGCTACCCCTATCTGTAGTCTGAAGACTTTTTGTTTCCAAGCAGTAGTTTCATACATATCTAGCAAAACACAAAATGCAGAATGAAGATATTTTTCAAGGCAACCTATTAATAGTAGTCCCTAGGAGGTGGCCTATTTCATTTTTGTCATCTTTTACAAAGTAATGAAAAATCCTGCGTGTTTTGTTAAATTACAACACAATATGTAATTGAATGAATTTTAAAATGATCTCTTAAAGCCTATAACCTTTGCTACCTTATATACTAAAGCTTGAGATTTTACCAGTGTTACCTGATTGTACCACTTGACTCACAGCTCTAGCAGGTCTCATGAAGGCAGATAGTCTTTATCTCAAAACAATAAGCATCTCTCCATGTATTTCTAGGAAATTAGTTATTTCCAGTTTCCCGGTGAGTTACTGATGAGGATGCTGAAAATGCTGATCCTCCCCCTGGTTGTCTCAAGGTAAGTGAAGACAGTGATCGTTCCAATAACTTTTAAAGTTTCCTAAATAAGAAATAGGATAGCACTACTTTGGTTTTGACTGAATAAATATTGAAGTGCTGGGAGCATTACCTACTGCTGTAGATTCATATTGAAAGTAGAGCTATGAACATCTTTAATCAATAGGAAAGTTTCTGCAGTACCTCATACAGGTTTTATTTGCTCAAAGACTAGTTGTTTTTTTAATTGATGTTTTCTTCCTTCCACCTAATGGGAGGACTTTTCCCTTCAAGAGAACTAGAAGTTAAATGAATAAATAACCCACCATATCAAAAAGCCTACCTTAAATCTAAATATTTTAAATAATACACCATGCAAATGTGGATGAAAAATACACCATGCAAATGTGGATGAAAAATCACAGAATCATACAATCATAAGATATTCTAAATTGGAAGGGACCCACAAGGATTATCAACTCTGACTTCTGGTTCCATGCGGGATCACCCAAAAATCAGACCCAATGTCTGAGAACAGTGTCCAAACGCTTCTTGAACTCTGTCAGGCTCGGTGCTGTGACCACTCCCCTGGGCAGCCTGTCCCAGTGCCCGACCACCCTCTAGGTCAAGAACCTTTCCCTAACCCCCAGCCTGACCCTCCCCTGTCCCAGCTCCATGCTGTTCCCTCAGGTCCTGTCGCTGTCCCCAGAGAGCAGAGCTCAGCGCCTGCTCCTCCGCTCCCTCGTGAGGGAGCTGCAGGCCGCCATGAGGCCTCCCCTCAGCCTGCTCTGCTGGGGGCTGAACAAACCCAGTGACTTCAGTTGCAAATCATACACCTTGTCCTATAGGACCTTCACCGTCTTTGAAGTCCTCGTTTGGATGCTCTCTTATAGTTTTATGTGTTTTATACTGTGGAGCCTAAATGAGCACCCAGTGCTCAAGGTGAGGCCGCACCAGCACAGAGCAGAGCAGGACAGTCCCTTCCCTCAGCCAGCTGGCAGTGCTGTGCCAGATGCACCCCAGGGTGCAGTTGGTCCTTTTGGCTGCCAGTTAATAAAAGTACAGTTAATTTATAATCCTCTGTAGTTCTTTTGGAGATTTGCTGCAGTATGATAAATATTGAAAAAAAAAAAAAAAATGTGTCCAGTGAATTACTAATGTACGCATGGTTTCAGCTGGAAGTGAAAGTGATTTCCTAGTACGTTAAAGGCAGAACCTTAAATAATGCAATTTTGTCAGTGGCAGAATTAATGATCTAGATCCTGATGCTCAGGGATGGTGCATGGTAGCTGTCTTTGCAGCGGGTTGGCCTAATTTAGGACAACAGTTACTCTCCTGTAATTTTTTCTGTCTTACAACTGACTACAATAACAACCAAATACCAGTTAGACGGACAAAAACCTTCTCAGCCCAGTGCTGAGAGAAGAGATAAGGCGTGATGGAGAGTAGCAAAGCTAACTTTATCTTAACAGATCTGAGAAAAAAAAAATTGTAGTATTTGGTGCCTTTACTTGAAGCCTCAGCTTCTTTCTGGAACCCAATAGGTATGCCAAAAACTCATCTTTCATTTTAAGAGAAAGATAAGTTTCTAGACTTCAGGTCACTGAGAGTTACTGAAAATAAACACAATCCAGTGCTAATTTTATTTTTAAATCCCATCTTGGCATCTAACTTCCCATGTTTTTTGTACAGAATGAAGCAGATTCATGGTGCTTGCATGTCTGGCACTCCTAATGTGACCATAGATTCATACCTGGTTGTGTCCTACACAGCTAGAAAACATCAAGACAAAATAAAGGATTTTTTAGAGAGGTAGAAGGAGAGTTTTCCAAGGAAAACATAATGTCACATGAGCAAGTGATCTACTGAGGACAGAAAAGGGTTGGAGTAAAGTCACATACCTTCCCTAAAATGTATAGTCTTTTAGATACCCTTGTGGTTTTTTGTTTGTTTGTTTGTTTGTTTTGAGATTCTAGGAGTCAAAGCAGCACAGTGGAAAAAGCTGCTCTGACACAGCCTTTGATAGTTGTAAGTTATTTACAGGTGTATCAGCAAGGAATCTCTGAGCTGTACTGTTAGAATTGATTAACTAGTCTGAGGAAGGAAGAGAACTTAACAGGTTGTCAAAGGGATCTCGGTGCCGTATTACATCCTTTAGCCAGGAGATGGCTCTGTCTAGAAGAGTCAGGAACCACGAGTTGTTACCGGGGTGTTTGCAGTCACTCCGGTGCACTAAGATCTTGTATATACAGGAGGCCATCCGAGGCTTTTTCTAATACTGTTGCCTACCCAGAAAATCTCTACTTTCTTTCAGCGTAGTTAATGATAAGCTTCTTTTCTTTTTTTTTCACACCACTTGTATCCTCCACCGGCAGGTAGTGCTTTC